CCTCAGCTCACATGGGGAATTTGTATCATCTGGAAAGAATCTGTCTGTAAAAGTGTAATAATAGCAATAATAACAAGAAAGGAGCATAGATAATACTGAAGATTATCCTGTTGTGCAGCAAGGCCAGTAGGTGTGAGTAACTACAGAGAGCTCTTGCAGCTGGGGAGAAGAAATGCCATGCAACTTGGAAAGGATGCAGGAATCTGCTTTAAGAGCAGTGCATGCAGGAAGGAAATAGGAAGGCAATTGGTGTACTTATCCACTAAAATATTGTCTGTCCTATTACATCTTTTCTGCTTATAAATGGCATTTCATGTCTTAAAAAGTAATTTTTGTATGTATGTGAAATGTAATTGCATAAATCACATCCTATTTATGGGATATAAAGCTGCAGAGGTGCTTAGAGATGGCTGGGGGTGTTCTGTCTTTAAGGAACAACTGATGTAACTTCCATCTCTGCATACAAGTGAGTTTTAAATTGATGTTTTTCCTTTCTTGCCACAAGTCGCACTAATAAATGCCGGGCTGTCCTTAATGTTTGCTCAAACCACAGTCCCATCAAATCAACAAAAGGACACCCGTGTTCTTTTCCTACCCTTCGCCTTGTCCTGCAGCTGCGAACTTGGCTTTCCATGGCGTTTGCTGAGGTCGGCTTTGGGGGCTCAGTGTGGAGCTCACCTCGTTTGGCTGCTGATGGCAGGGCGCAGCGGAGGAACTTCGGTGAAGGGTTTGAGCTGTGCGCGTGAGGCTGCGAGGCGCTTTGGGCGCAATGTACGCCATCGCATGGGCGGGGCGAGTACGTGTGAATCTTTGGGGCAAACACTTAAGGTGTGCGTGCACGACGAAATTGCTTGGCAGTGCAGTGTGTGAGATAGTGCGAGTTAGCGGCTGAATGCAAACAGCCCCTCTTCTGGGACACTGATTTTGTGACTGCAGTTTTAGGGTTTGCTTTGTGCCCCTATTTTTGAGGAAGCAGAAATCTGTTTGCTTGAACATGAGTTGCATGCTACCAGTTGTAGTATTATCACATGTAAAATTATTTGTTCTTCATAATTAACTTTAAATTATTGATTTTAAATTAATGATCTAGAATTGATGGAAGCAATTAATCAACATAAGTCAGGACATTAAAGTCCTCATATTGGCTTTGGGTGGATTTAGCAGTGCTATAATTACCCATTCCAGTCCCAAAGGATCACTTGCAGTCCCCAGCTAGCCGTGCTGCTTCTCTGTTCCCTGTAACAAACCCACGAATGTTCCAGCCCTTGCCAGGTATGGCACCCAGCACATCACCAACCTGCAGAGAAGGGAACAAATCTTTTCCCTTAGCAGTCATGCTAACCCAGCACGTACAGTGAGGAGGGTGCAAGCTTGGCAGAGAGGGAACACTTTTTAGGTAGTTCTCCCTTTTCACCCCCTTGGCTTCCAGCACCAGAGGAAGTGAAAAAGACACTGGAAGAAAATAGGAATTGAGAAATAAGATTTATGCAAGATAACGTGTCTGAGAGCTGACTTGAAGACGTCACTTCTCTTATCTGTCACGTGAGGGGGCTTCTGGCTTTGTTTCCCTACAGTTCCCATGCTGGTAGAATTGCAAGGCTCAGTCATTGAAGTATCTCTTCTCATGAAAGAGTTTTTGAAGCTGAGGGTGTATTTGTGGCTCTCCGTTCTTCTTCTCTTCTCCCTGGGCAGTGCATAGAACTTATCTGGGGGTATCTGAAGTTGTTAATGCCCTCATGGACACCGCAGAGCAGTGAGCACTGAAGGTACCCGGCTTCGTGGCAGCCCTCAAAACCCAGCTCTGAGTTTCCTGGAAAGAAAAAGGATGAGATGGGAAGAGATAATTTAGGTTTACTTAAACAGTTACGTCAATGGTTAGCAAGACAGGACTATTTACATTGGCATTACATATGAAATAATATTAAAAGGAACTTAGCTCACAGAGGAACTAAATGAGCTATGACTTTCATAGGAAAGATTTACAACTGGCAAAATCCAGTGCTTATCTCTATCAGTTTAATTAAAATTCAATCTCTGCACTGTGAAGCAGCCAACATTCCCCTGGGCAGAAGCTGCATTTCGATTAAGCACCATCTGATGTTATGAGTGTAAGTCCTTTGTCTCTTATCAGCACTGATCCCCCCTGGAAGTTCATGCTTGGAGCAGTGAATGATGGACGAAGGATTATTTTGGAGGTTTGGGTTGGTTTGGTTCATTACTTTGAACTTAAATCTTCCAACGTGTTCCCTGTCTTCAGCTCTGACTTCTAGATGGCACTGTTGCTTTGTTTTCTTTTTCCAGTCTTATCAAGCTTACCTGTTTCTATCTTAAAATACTTGTATTTTGAAAAGCAAACCTATGAGTGGCTTAAATGTTAGCTGTTGTGTGGGACAAGATATTGACTGACAATTGCAATTGCAAAATGACTGGCTGTATTCTTCTTGTATTAAACGTTCATATTGCATTGCACTGACAAATTAGTATATGCAAAATGACCACCAAAAAAAAAAAAAAAAAAAAAAAAAAATTGTGTGTGCAATCCTTTGATTTCCAGGCAGGAAAAAATAAGGTGACATTAAGACTTATTCTGCACATCAAATACGCTGACTTCTGATTCCCAGCTTCATGTGGTTACTTTGGTGGAAACTCACTGAAGCGAAGGCTGATAAATCTATCATCTATGCGTTCATTTTTGAGATTAAACTGACATCTGCTGGTGTCCCGTCATAAAATACCTGCAATTAACGTGACGACAAAGCACATACAGTACTATGTGTACATTAGAGACTCGTGATGCTGCTGTATGACGCAGTGGGGTGGAGAAAAGCATCAACAGCCAAATACAGAGTGTGGGGCTGCTGGGCACCTCCCTCTGCCAGAGAGGAGACTGAGGGGAGCTCCCATGGGATACTGCTTTTGAACCTACTTCCATTTTCTGAAATTGCTGTGTGGCCTTTCCTCTCTCTCTTTAACAAGGTGTATTTATCACCTTAGAGCTCAGCTCACAAAGCAAGGGAGCTCAGCAAGATTTTCCTTCATTTCTGGCCTGTTTCCTCCTGCATGGAGCTGGGAGTTGGACTCTGATCTTTGAGGGTCCCTTCCAACTCAGGATATTCTGTGGCTGCAACCAATAGTTGTATGCGAACAGTTGGTGAGGACAGCAGTGGGACAAAACAGAGTAATGATTCTGGGGTCCCCACAGAAGGGTAAAAGTTTTAGTGGGAGACAGGCTGTGAGGAGATGTAAGCAACATATGTGACACAGAGTAAGAAGGTGTTCGGGTGCAGCTCGTGCCTTCCTTCACCCCAGGAGATGCATTCAGTCCTGGCTTCTCTCTGCTACGGCTTCTCAGCTGCTCACACCCACCTGGCAAAGGAAATTTAGTTACAAAGAGCACAGTTATTCCAGTTTTAACACATCTGGGGATCACACATATCATGATGTGATCATATGATAAATATCACCATGTGATTTCTTAACAATGGTGGGAAGTCATTCATCTCTAAGTCACATTTACTTTTGAGTTCAAATACTAAGAAGTAAGACTGAATGTTGCTGAATCAAAGCAGAACTAAACCCTTCACACACTTCCTTCCCCTTCCCCTACTCTTCTCTCCCAGGATATTCACAGTGCCCTCACGCTTCGGCATCTGATGCCAACCTGTGTACACATACCTGTAGGCAATTCTGTAGATTGCTCTGACTCTTGTCACTTGGATTGAGAGCACCTTTTGTCCTGTGTAATCTGAGTGCTGGCTCTGGGACGACTTGAATTGAAGCTTTGTGTGTGCTTCCTGGGGTGTGGGCCGAGAGAGGATTTACGCTCAAAAATAGGACTTCAATGGATTTTAGATACTTTCAGCTAAAAAGCTGAACAAAGTCCCTGCTGAGCCCTCTGGGGTTGGTGACTCCTTCCAGTCCAAAGCAGATTAAAGCTCTCAATGCTCAGCTGGTAAATTTGGCCAACTGGTTCACTTCAGCTGCAGCCGGGAAGCAGTGCTCGTTAAATCCCACACTGCGATCTGCCCGGTGATCGTTTTCTGCCTTATTTCAGTACGTATCTGTGAGCCATTCGGTCGGATGGAGAAAGGACCGATGTGCTGTGCTGCAAGTTTCCAGAGGCTGAATCCAATAAATTGCCTGTAAGAACCCTAGTTAAAATCACTGTGTCTGTTGGGAGGCTTCTTTGATAGTATTCTTTGTTTTGTTGCGTGCAGTGTTGGCTGGAGTAACCGAACCTGGTAACACAGGCATATCTTGGAGTTAAGGGGAGGCCCTTCTCCTCTCGGAAACGTGCGCTCTGCCTCCGCTGCTGGCAGGGAAGCGGACGATCGCTGTTTCAGTTCGGGTGCCCCCGAGGCAGAACGCTGCAGGAGCCGCGCGCCGCTGTGCTCGGCTCGGCTCCGCGGCAGCGGGCGGCACGCGGTGCTGCGCCCCGAGCACCGTCAGCAACGCTCCGTCCGCAGCGACTGCCGGGCCGGGGATGTCCCAGCGGCTGTGATTCGTCTGAGCAAACGGGGAGGGGAAAGGGACGGGACGAGCGCGACGGGACGGCGGTTCGGGAGAGCGGGGCTGACGCGGATCCGCTGTGGGGCGGTAAGGGCTGAGGACGCTGCCCGGAGCCTCGCTGCTCCGGGTCGGGTCGGCTTCGTCCCTTTTTCGGAGAGTGAAGACGACGGGCCCGGGCCGGAGCGCTGCGCGGAGCCCCCAGCGGAGCCGCCCCGTCCGGCTTCTCGGCTCCCGTCGGTCGTTCCGCACAACCGGGGCCGTCGGCGGTGACCCCGGGGCGGCGGGGGCCGAGGCCGAGCGCCTGCGGGGGGAGCGCGTGAGGCGGGGGCCGGGCTGCAGCGCGGAGATGTCCGGCCGCGGGGAGCCAACGCCGCGCTCACCTGCCGCGCCTCTGCCGAGAACGGGCTGCTCGGCGTTTCGTTCCGAAGAGCTCGTCTGAGAAATGCGCACCGCTTTTAGCTCGCAGGTGGGGGAGGTGGGAGCTGCGCTCCGGAGCCCGGGTAACCGTGGCGATGTCCGAGCTGCCGCCGCCTTACGTTTAATGCCTGCCGTCTACCCCCGGCGCACCCGAACGCGGTCGCGCTGCGGGCTGCCGGGCTCAGCTGCTGCTCTCATTGCCGGGCTCTTGCGAGGGGAGAGGAGAAACAGAAAGCTTGAGATAGAGAAACAGGAAAGTTTCAGCTTGAGATAAGGGAAAGACGAGGTGCACTGACGTGGCCGGTCTGGGTTTGGAAACCTGTTCTTTGAGGAAGAAAACCAAGAGGCGCTGCTGCCCGGAGGCTGCACGAAGTGGGGGAAAATCTCATCACCAACTTAACGGCCTCACCGAATAACGTTCCTCAAGTGAAAAGTCCCGCAGACGCTGAGTGCCAAAGCAATACGAGAGGTTTTGTAGCCTGGATCACGAGGCGGGTCGTTACCTCCTCTTTCTCCTGATTGCAGGCTTCTTTCGGGGAGAGCCGGCAGTGCAGGACGCGCTGTGCTCTGGGGCGGCACTGAGAGCTGAAACCTTTCTTTGAGCTGCTCTGAGGGGACGGACGGCAGCAAAGCGCTGCGTGGGGCTGGGCTGCAGTTACTGCGGGAAGAGCCGCTCTTGTAATCCTGCAGCTCTTTCGTTCTTGTGTGTGTTCGCTTGTTTTATTAACGAACCGCCGCTTTGATAAATGTTAGAGGTACTGATACTCGGTTCTATTTTTGTACCCTTTGTTATAATAGTCGGTAGTTGCCTGTGCTCCAGAATTAAAACTTCTTTCCTTAAAAAACAAAAAAGGAGGAGAGGGAGATGAGAGCCACGGCCATCAGTGTGGGGCACTGTTTTCACACTGCTGCTTGGGCTTTTTGTTCAGGATTAACCTGGGGAAGGAAAGTGTCTGAATTAACAAAGTGCAAAATTATGCACAAACTGCTGCGTATCTCTGACCTTTGCTAAATATACAACAGTTCTAGAAGCTTTTCATTCCCTGAAATGAAATGTGGCTTTAGTGCCATTATAGAAGTGTCAAAATGCTGTACTGCACTCTCCAACGGATGGGAGAATATCCTTCTGTTGATAGAATTCGTTGCTCTGTTGCTTCCTGGTCTCCAGCAAGCATAAGTACCTCATCTAGCGAGCCAGTTTAGCTCCAGCAGCAGTTTGTGAATGCTGTATCCTTACCAGATGTTTTCCTCTCTTTATGCCGACGTTGTTCTGCTTTGTTTGTGGAGCAGCAGAGCTCTGAAGTGAGGGATGAACAGAGAAGAGTGCTTTGTGTCCTGCAGGTGCTGTTCTGCCTCAGCGTGTGCTTGTAATGCAGGTGGTTTGAATTGGGAAAGTGTGAGCAGATTTAGGTGTCCGTTCTCTCAAGGAAGAATCAGGAGCAAAAAGAAAAATCTGGGGGAGGGAGCTGGTGCTTCTGCTGTTTGTTAATCCTTCTCTGGAGTCTGGTGACTCACCTGCCCAATGTTAGTGCAGCTGGGCACAGTGGGCCGATGGCCGCCCTGTTGTGTGCTTGGAATACAGGAGGTTTTATGAGAAGTAGAAAAATGAAGTGGGGTGGGTAACTGAAACCTCTGGTCTTTGTCCTGCTGCATGCATTTCTGAAGGCTTGAAGGGGAAGGGTTGTGAGAGTCAGGGAGCAGAAGAAGAACTGCTCAGTTCTTCTCTGTGCTGGCAGGATTTGGATCTGAAACTCCCAGATGTATGTGGAAATTCTTGTGTACCCATGTGAAAGCCCTGGTCCTGCATTTAGTTTGTGCGCTGCTCATTCACTGTTTGCGTATCGTCTTTTATCTGTAGGTTGCATGTATGCAAACCAGTAGGCTAACTTTTGGGATCATTTATTTCCTTGCTATGTCTTATCCTTGTTTTTTTCTTACAGTCCAGTACTTGCCACCAGTCTTTCCTTTTGAAGCATTTGGAAGCAGCAATTGAGAGTGGGCTTTAAGAAGACAGAACTTGGCTGTTTCTGCCTCTGCCATCAGCTCTTTTGTGCCTGTTTATTTCAGTCATGTAAGTTCAGATTATCTTTTAATTAGTGAATTAGTGCCATTTCATGCAATCACAAAATACCCTGAGTTGGAAGGAACCAACAGAGATGGCTGAGTCCGGTTCCTGCTTGGCTGAGTTCCCCTGATTTAAGCCAGCTTTAAGCCATTTCAACTATCTGTCCTCAGCTATTCATCATGTGATGTATGTCCTTGCATAAGCAGTGGGGTACAGTTTGTGACCTTGTTAGAAATCCATCTCAGTCCCATGTTGGGTCCATTAGACTCGATCTTGGTTTGATCCAATGCTGGTTTGTGATTTTAACTTTTTCTCTCCCTTGCACTCAGGTGTTATACATTAGTTGCTCTTTCCAGGCAGCTGTGTATCAGTGGCATTTTAGATAAGAGTATCTGAAATGTGTCACAATTAAGGGTAGAAGCTGCTCTGTACTTATTTGCAGTGAGCAGAATGCAGAAATGGTGAAAAGTCTATCAGTGCCTTTTTGAGGTTGCACAGGGAATGTAACACATTGATGACTCAGGCTGTGAGTCTTGCCTCAAATAAAATGCTGAACATACTTCCTGGAATGTCCCTCTGACGTCTGTTTTCTAATCTTTAGGTTAACACTTACTGGGAAAAGGCAATGGTTAGCATGCCTACATTCTGTAATAAAGTAATAATTGGTAAAGTTGTGTTCAGCATTGATCGAAACCTGGGTAAGCAGCAAAAATGATACACTTTCTACTTAACTGAGTTGTAAAAGATCTGAATTGAGTTGGACGTACTTAGCTGTTTGGGGTTTCTTTCCCCTTCAGTATAAGTACTTGTTTATTTCAAATTGCAGCAAAGATCAATGTTCTATTTTAATTATTTGCACTTCACCACAAACGAGGCTCATGTTAGTCAGCAAACACTGTGCAGTCCGTCACATTTCTTGCTTTTGGAGGAGACTGAGGACATCTGAAGTACAGTTCTGGAGAACTGGGAGAAACTGCCAGATAGCTTAGCATAGTAATAAGGATACATGAAGCCCTGGCTGTGGCATTTTTTGTAAGGGGGGGCTGGTGGTGGAAAGATGTATAAAAACTGTGAAAAGATAAAGAGAAGGAAAAAACAACAATAATATTGAGTTCAACTTTCATGTTTTGTCTTTCTGATGGCATTAAATACAGTTTGTGCTGCGAAACGTGCATTTTGATCTAGTTACTTCCTGCTGTTTGTCTGAAACAGGTTGCTGCTTTCTCTAAATAAATTCTTCTGTTATGACGTTCTTTTCTGTTATGTTCTAGATACAATGTCTGCTCCTAGTGGCTTTCCTGCCCCGTCTGCACCTCCTTCATATGAGGAGACAGTAGGAATCAATGTGAACTATCCTCATCCCTACCCTGTCCCAGAACCTGGCCTCAGACCAGGTGGGAAGGGAATGAACCCTCCCCAGAACACAGCACAGCCCATGCCAACAAGCAGCCCTGGTAAGCCTGAAGCTTGACTGCGCCACATTAAAGATGAGTCAGGTTGTTGTCAGAGGTGCTGTGCAGAAACTGAAGGATTGTGGCTGACAGGTGTTTCCTACCTAACCAGGACACAAGATCAGCCAGCTCTCACAATACACACAGAGCACAGCGGTATAAATTACGTAATTTGCCTTTCTGCAGTTTTTAATACAGACCTATTCTTAGACAACGTGTTCTGCATTAGGGAACACCATGGTGATTTCTTTGTCACTGTATTTCAGTGCTCTGAGACTCAAGTATTTCAGCACTGCAGCTGGTTGTAGTTCAGAGGAAGCTGGTTATCTTTTCTTCCTCATGTACCCACTGAATAAACAATGTTTCTTTGCTCAGTTACAGTTCAGACGGTGTATGTGCACCAGCCGGTGGTGGTGTTCTACGACCGCCCAGTTCAGATGAGTTGCCCTTCCTGTAGCCAGATGATCGTGACGCGTCTCTGCTACGAGCCAGGAGCGCTGACCTGGCTGTCATGTGGTGGCCTCTGCCTGCTGGGGTAGGTCCATTCATTTGCTCTTCACTTTTTTTCCTCTATGTGACCTTTTAGAGCCTCAAGCAGTAGCAAAGGCCTTGCAGTCTCAGCTTTGTTGCTTTCTCACTCTGACCCCTTGGTTTGAAGAGATGGCGTTGGCTGCAAGTCCTGCAGGGCCTTAAAGCAGGTTGATAACACCTCAGCTCTGTAGGCGTGTGCTCATCCTAAAGCTCTGTGGCACCAGTTTTGCGGATAGCTTTGGTAGGAAATTTTCAGGAAGTGTTTTTTGTCCTTGGCAGAGATGTGGTTTGGTCTTCTTGTGTATGTAACAAGTGGTAAAGCAGCATGGTGTTGTTTTCTCTTTGCAGGTGCATAGCTGGCTGTTGCTTAATTCCCTTTTGCATTGACGCTCTGAAAGATGTGGAACACTTCTGTCCAAATTGCAATGCCCACGTTGGTTCTTACAAGCGTCTGTAGGCAGTGTGTGAGCACTAAGAGTTGATCAGCACCTCTCGAAGCCCTTACTGAAGCTTCATAATTTTTTTTCTGTCATGTCACTGGAAACCAATAAAAATTAATGTTTGTTGCCAGATTGTTTGAATAAGAATTTGCTAAGAATTAATGATTCTGACTCAGGTCTTTCTAGGGCTCGATGGACTGCTCAGTCCTGCACCAGGTGGTGGCTGCTAATTGTTTGCCCCTTTCTGCCTTATGCAAAACAGGTTGGTGATGTTGGTGCAGTTAATCTTAACTCAGTTGTGTTGCACACTGTGTGCTTGATTTACAGTCTTGGCACAGACCACAAGGAGAATGTCTGCAGAGGACTGCATAGCCTCGTGCTTGATGTTGATGCTAGTGCAACAGCAAAGTTCACAAACTGGCATGTTTCTTGCCTCTCACGTAGGTGCCCCTCTGAAGAAGGAAGTAGTTTGGTCCCCACTGTTATCAGTTGGTTACTTTTTTATGAGCACTAAAATTAACTTCAGAACTTTCTGTGAAAGACAACCAAACTTAGAGGCTTCTTCCTTCTTGGAAGCTGCATTACCAAATGGACAACTCAGGTTATTGTGCATCACTGGTGATTGAATGTAGTACCTGAATTTCCTTGCTAATTTTCAGCCTACTTGTATCTTTTATTGCAGTAAAGTTGCCTACTCAGAAATTTTTAATAGATATTTCTTCATTTTTTTCTTTTTTTTTCTGCTGATTTATTAGACTAATTTTCCAAATAAAAGGTAACTTCTGTTCTCAGAAACCTAAGCTGTATGTGATGGTGAACACAAAAATTAAAGTGACACTCTGAAGGTTGAAGAATTTAAAAAAATGGTAGACATGGTCTGAATATCCTCTGAGTTCATTTGGGTGACAGCTGTGTGGAGCCAGCAGGCAGCTGCTGGGACAAGGCTGTGATGCTACTGTGTTCATCTCTGGAAAGACTACAAATAAATATGGATTTAAAAATTTATTGCTTTTTCCTGATGCGCCTTCTACAAATGTTTGGTATATGGTAACTTTTCAGAAGTCCTTCAGCGCTTCATTTCTGAATCTCTGGGTTCTGTGGGTCACAAATGCAATGGCTGGGCCTCATTCATTAGTCCCTGTAAACTGCTGTTGCTTGTGGGCCAGCTTGCAGATGGCTTAAGAGCTTCCATGTGCGCCTGTTCACGCGTCTCTGCAGCTACAGCTGGCAAGGGGCTGATGGAGAGAAAGAGGTGCTGCTTCTGTAGCTTTCTGTTCTGGGTGTGCACGACTTGCTCACATTTCCTGTCAGCTGTGCCTGCCCAGTGGTGGTCTGGGTGTTCTCTAAGGCTCTGGGTGCTGCTTTGAAGCTTCTCTGAATTCTCCCATTATGCTGTCAGTGATTCTCACATATGCAAATCGTGCATTACTGTAAAGCCATCTTTTCCCCTGGATTTCACAAAAAATGTACTGGTCAGATTACCACCAGAGTAAGACAGGAAGTAATGAAGCTGCCCCAAACGAAGTGCTGGGAAAATCTGAGGTGGGGGCACCATGATTTAGAAGAACCCTGAACAAAAAAAAAAAAAAAAAAAGGCTGTTTTTGGCTTTGTGCACGTAGTCAATTGCATTTCTTTAAGCACATGGGCAATTGCATCTCTTTAAATTGCTCTTATGGGCCGAGAAGGAGACATGCCATGTGCTGGTAGCTGCTCCGTGTCATTAAGCATTCTGCAAAAACTTCTGCTGCCTCCTCTGCACTTAAATTTCCTTGGACACAAAGCCTGGGTTTGTGTTTTTGTGCATGGGTTTATCCATGGAATGCACCAAGGTGACTTGCTTTAAGTTTATTTTAGAGAAATGAAAATGCTTTGTTTGATTGTGTTGAAGTCACTGGTAGTTTTTAAAACTGTTTGCATTTAAAATAAGGACGTATTTTCTTTTTAGTGCTTGTTAGTGGCAAATTATAACACTTTGGATGCTTCCAAACATATGAATGTCAAAATTGTGTCAAGAAATGTAGCTGTGGGTTATGTTTTTCAGTGTCTACCTTGAGCCAAGGCTCTGAGAAGCTGCAATCTCTGGCCTGCAGCGAAACTGCTCGCACACCGAGCCAGGTCTGACAGCATCAGAATGGAAATGAGTGTTCGTCTTATTAAATGCACTTGCTGAAGCTCTTCCTGAACTGTCCTTGAATAGTGCTTTCCTACAGCAAGCATAAAGTGCTTGCACTGTGTGAACAGGCAAGAAAACAAGGAGTGACCAGTGCAGTGGTAACGCAGTGATGTCTCAGTAGTACTGCTGTGGACGTGCCTGCTGCCTCAGTGACAGCAGGAGTCAGGGGCTGTGCTGCTGAGGGGCCGCAGTCCTGTGGTCACCTCTCTCTCTGCAGCACTGTGTGCTGTCTGGCACCACGCGGCCTCTCCAGCCAAGGCACGGAGGGCAGGGAGCGTGGGCAGCTGTGTGTCAGACAGGAGATCTTGCTGATCTCGAAGGTATTTTCCAACCTAAATGATTCTGAGCTGAGGCCAGCAGTGCGTCTTCTGCCCAGGTGAGTTCTTGGAGTGGTGCGTGCTTGGGGGCGGTAGGCAGCCTGGAGAAAGAGCAGGGAAGGAGACAGATTATAGAGGTCCTTGGGACTGCTCTGGAAGAGGTGCCAGCTCCGGCTCCAGGAGGAACAGACACCGTGATTTGTTGTCTGGGTGAGTTGTTAATGACAGCAAGAAGAGCAGTGCTCTGTCTCTTGATGTATTTTCTCACTGAGATGCAGAAAATGCAGGAAGGTGAGGTTGATACATGTACATCTTTGTTCTGATGCATTTTTATAAAAAACAAAAGTGTAGTTTAATAAATAAGCAATCTGAGTTGCGAACAGCTTTTCCTCTGCTGCTAGATCCGGCATCAGCATGCTGACCTGATGTATTCATACCATTTCCAAAGATGTGTAAGGAAGGAGCAGAGGCTGCCCGAAACCCTCCAGCCTTCAATGACAAGTCTGGATGAAGCCTTTCTTGGCCCTTCCTTCCTTAGCCTTCCAGGATGACACTGCTCTGTGTTCCACTTGGATGATGTTATTATCATTGCACTTCTGGTTTTAATCAACAGATTCTGAGCATTCAAATTTAGTTATTTATAATGATGTGTGAGCCAAAGGAAATGCATTACCCTGCAAAGGGGATAAAAAAAAGCACAAAAACCACCCAAAACTGCTAAAGCCATTACCAGTTGAGAGCCTTTCAAAAAGGTGTTATTAGCAAGTTTCAAAGAGCTGCTATTTATTGCACTGTTTTTAAAAGCATTTCTGGTCACTTCACCACAAGGGTGTGTTTTTGTTTTGTTTTTTGTTTTTTGCAAAAAAGAAGTTGATGTGTGTGCTCAGACAAGTTAATTGTCTTCTGTTGCTCAGCTATGAAGAATAGATAATGGAACACTTGCTGTTCTCCTAGGAATAAATTTAAGTGCAAGTTCTGTGGTGTCAGCTACAGGGGTTGTATTTCATAGCAAATTCACCACTGTGTCCCAGCTCTTTTATGAAATCCTGCAGTGCGATACACATGATTACCTTCAGGAGGACTTGAAGATGTGGCTCTGTGGGCTGAGGATCCTCCTGTACGATGTGCCAGATGTTGCAGAATTTATTTCTGTGCTTGTTTCACAAGTGATTGGTTTTCTCAGGCTAAGTCATCAGACCATACATAGCGAAACCTGCTGGTTTCAAAGGAAATGCTGCTGCTTTTTTGGTGTGAGAATCTAAAAATCTGCTGTAGGTGTGAACAGATGCCTGTGGGTTGGAGGTACTGAAAGGGGCCATGCCCAGGTCCAGGATAAGCCTGGCATGGACAGGAGGCATTCTGAAAGGCCTTTTGTAGAGGGTTGGCTTTCTTTGTGAGGCTCCTTCGTACCTGTATTTTGAAAAGAGAAATCTTTGAAGAAGAAAAGAAGAGCCTTTGAGCTCCAGGGCTTTGTAGTGTTAGCAAGGTGTGAGATGGACAGTGCTGCAGGATGTAAACGCGTGGTGTGAGCCAGGGATCTGAGTGTGGCAACAGAGACTTCACAAAAGCACTGGAAAACACCACCGACAAAGCAGTTTCCATCTCTTGCTTTTCCAGACGATGTGATGGCCCTGGGGCTGAAGTGGTATAGGTATGGGTATGTATATGTATGGGTAATTTCTCTGAGGGGATGACATCAGTGGGGGCATCAGTGGGGTGGGTGTCTGTGGCACAGTGCTGTGGGCAGGGCTGGGCCGGGGGTCCCAGCTGTAGCCTTTTCATGCTGGGGAACAGAGCTGGGGTACAGACCATGCCTGGGGCAGCTGATGGAGCATTGTAGTGCTGAGTTGAAGACCCCAGGACCCCCTGCGTGCACTGCCATTTCTCTTAGTGCCACTCAGACATTAATGTCCAGTGTTGGTAAATGAGAACTTCTGCTCCGGTCTTAGATCTTTTGAGAAAGCTTGATTTCTAATTGGTAAGGAGAGCCCTTCTGCTATGCACACCTACTATTGTAAATGCTTTATTTTTCCATCAAGGTGTTGTTAGTTCAGAAAGAGCAATGGAAATGCTAACTTACATGCTAGCAAATGCTAGGTATTTGTTTGAAAGCTCTGAAACATGGATCTTACAAAAACACTAGTGCACCTTTTCAAGAAGCTCACCAGACTGGTTTGGTTTGCTTAGCATTGCCTATGCAGCCTTCTGGGAAAATGTTTTCCTCCTCTTGCTCGTGGTAGGATGTATATATAGGCCACGTGGTGCAGTTCTCAGGTTCTCAGCAGCTGGGAGGCACCCCAAAATCCAGTGCTCTGCAGTCTTGTGGAGATAGGTCTGATACCTTTGCCTTCTGGTTACCCCCCGTTTTGTTTCAGGGCCTTTGGGCTCAGGCTGTGTTCCAGTGTAGCTCTCACACTTTGTTGGTCGCTCCTTCTTCTGGAGCTGTTTCCTTGTAGGGAGGTTTGAACAGCCTGGGACCTGCGTGCGTTGTTGGGGATGAAAGATTTTAAAAAGTATCTTAAAGAGAAAGTAGGATTTTTAAAATGAGAAAACAAACAAACAAAAGTTCTGATGGAAAATCTAGTTTTTAAAAAAGACAGAGGTTTCTGTAAGAACTTCCGGTGCTTGTGAACGGGATGAAATAAAATAGCCTTGTTCTAAGAAATCATTTGGGTTTGGGCAAGAACTCAATTATTCGAGGTGTGCTCATGCTTAGGATTAAGCACCTGTTTATGTACTCTGCTGACTTTGGACATTGGTGCCACGCATGAGATTAACATACACCAAGTAGGAAAACTTACCAGAGAGCATCTGAGTGCTTTGAGAGGGAGCTTATGTTGGCTTCTGGAATGGCTCACTGCTGCTGCTCTGAAAATGAGAGTGGGGCTGCAGCAGGGGAGCTGGGTGCACAAGCACTGCTTGTAAACTGCTGGTGCTGGGCTGGAGCCCAGCTGAGCTGAGGCAGAAATCCCTTCTCCTCCCAGTTCTGGTAATTCCCTCAAGCTGCAAGATTGCTACACTAAATTCTCCGAAGTGGTTTCAATATGTAGTGTCTGAAAAATGACAGTGGGGATGAAGAAGACTTTTTCACTTGTTATTTTGGATTGACCATGAGAAATCTCAGCTGAACGCAAGACCTGAAAGATTTTGGGATCCCATTTCAGATGGGATCTGGCCCCAGATTTGACATTTGGGGCATCTGTGTTTTTTTTTTTTTGTGTGTGTGTGTGTGTGTCTTCTTATACATCTTTGCATAGATCAGTGACTAAAGAACTTGCTTTATCTTTAATTAAAATGTGCAAACCTTTTAAACTGAGCAAAAGGTAACTGGTGGAGAAAGTAAGCTCAGGCAAGCAGATGTGACAGCACCAGTTTGGTGGGGCAGTGTGGTGCCGGGCTGGGATTGTAACCTGTGATTTCTGCTTGTGAATCTGGTTTGAGGTAAACAACAGCTGATGGTAAATTAGAGGGACTCAGTGGGTTTCGATGTGGCAGAAAATAAATCTTAACTTGACCAAAGCAGATTATCTCAGAAGGCCTTGGTATGCCTATGTAATTGAGTTCTGATGGTGCCTCTGTGGCTCAGGTGCTCACTGGTCCTGTTACGTGTCAGGGATTCCAGGGAAGGGGAGTGACAAGATCCCAGAACTGGACCAATGAGCACAAAGAGCAGGAGGCAGACAGCAAAGCTCTCTCAAGCAGAGGAAAGTCACTATTAGTTCAGTGAACCATGGAGTGCCTGTCTCTGCTGTGTTGTAAGGGCCTGGCTGCTGTCAGAACTGTACTTTAGTCTGTGTGTGTGTTCCTTATCTAAATGTCAGCCATCTCATATTTGGGACTTTGGTTGAAGGGATGGGCTGCTCCCTGCAAGATATCTCACTTGTTTCCAATGCAAATACTACTCCTTTAGCCCCAAATTAGCCCCAAAGAATGTTTTTAATATGTGCTTCTGATTAATCACTGGGGATTAATCCCCAGATACAGAGTAGGATCTTGAGAATAGCCCTGTGGAGAAGGACCTGGGGGTCCTGGTGGACAGGAAGCTGGACACGAGCCAGCAGTGCGCACTTGCGGCTCGGAAGGCAAATGGTACCCTGGGCTCCATCAGCAGAGGGGTGGCCAGCAGGGACAGGGAGGTGATTGTCCCCCTCTACTCTGCCCTCATGAGGCCCCATCTGCAGCACTGCGTCCAGGTCTGGGGCCCTCAGCACAGGAATGATGTGGGGCTGTTGGAGAGGGTCCAGGGGAGGACTGGAGCACCTCTGCTACAATGACAGGCTGAGGGAGCTGGGCTTGTTCAGCCTGGAGAAGAGAAGGCTGCAGGGTGACCTCATTGCAGCCTTCCAGTATTTAAAAGGGGATTGTAAATAGGAGGGGAATCAACGTTTTACATGGGTAGACAGCGATAGGCCAAGGGGGAATGGTTTTAAGCTCAAGGAGGGAAGGTTTAGACTGGATACTGGGGAAGTTCTTTACACAGAAGGTGAGGTGCTGGAACAGGCTGCCCAGAGTGGCTGGGGATGCTCCGTCCCTGGAGGTGTTCAAGGAAGGCCAGGTTGGATGGGGCCCTGGGCAGCCTGGTGTAGTGCTTGATCTAGTGGTGGCTGCCTGCCTGTGGCAGGGGGATTGGAACATGGTGATCCCTGGGGTCCCTTCCAACCCAAGCCATTCTATGATTGACTGTTGGGCTGTTCTTGTCTTTGTTCTTTTATTCTTGCTATGTGGAGATTGCTCTAAGCATTTGCTATTTGTCATGCCACATACGTAAGTCGCTCTGAAAGTAATGCCTCCTATTTATTTCCATGGAAACTACAACAGATCCAAAGAGCACAATAACAATTTTTGATAGAGCAAATTCTTAGCTACAAACCGCTATTTTTCAACATAGTCAACACCACCACTGGTTATATCCCTCTGCAGCTGCCCCTGGCAGAGCCCCTCTGGCTGTAGGGCTGCTTTTCTACCAGGGGACCTGTGAGAGGGTGTGAACTGAAGTGGTTTTGCAAACTCCTGGGCTGAGGCAGTGATTTTGCTGGTTGTGGGGTTGCATGCCATCCTTCTACAGTTGCAGAAGGAGCTTGTGGGAGTTAGGCAGAACTCCTTTCCTCTGCTAAGATTGATCTCTCTCAATGCGGAATATTTCTGCAATGAAATGCTCTCACTTGCAAAAGCCTGGAGATGCTGTAAATTATTTTATGACCTGGAGGCCTGCAGTAATGGCTGAAGCAGCTTTGTCTCGATTTCCGGTGCAGTGCAGCAGTTGGCCTTACTGAGCTCTGTGGGTGGAACAGGGGCAGGAGGTAGGGCACCCCGCCTGTACTGCAGCTACCTGGGACCCCTCCTTCAGGATGAATGGAGAAATTGATGGAAAGAGTGAGACTGTGACATCGGTTCATTATCTCACCTGCAAATAGCAGGTACAAATCCTGCGCTGGCCTCTTGCTCTGAAATTGTGTGCCCTTTGCTAGCTGTTGGATGAAAGATGGGTAAAAGCGTGGCCAGCCCAGGTGATGGACATGGCAGCGCCTGGTGCCCCCCGGTGCTGTGCCTGCAGCCCCAGCACTGCCCACTGCCCCAGTGCTGCCGTGTGCTGAACCGCTGTGTGAGGCCTCCGTGCAGTGGGAGCAGCACCCAGCTCTGGCAAAATGAGTGCTATGTCCAGAAAACCACTTGGGACCATTTTAAGTGGGTACAGAACTGAACTGTATAAACAGATCAGCTTTTATAACACTTCATTATAGCAGTGCATAGTTTGAAGTTTATTATATATTCGTGTACTAATTCCAGCTTCCTGGAAAGGTGAGGGCTGTTTTAGAGCAAATGCTACAGATTAAGACTTGTCAGTTTCTTTCCTTATTGGCAAATGTTTCTAGTTAAATGCAAGATGTAGGTGGTGTGTGCCAGTGATTTGTGTGACAAATGTGCTGTCAGTCATTGTTAAAAATGTAACATTCTCTGTTAATCCACTGCAGTATCCATGTTTTCATGTATCAAACCATCTTGCTTAAGCCTGGGCTTTCTCAAAAGCAAACCAGGGCACTGTTTGCTATTGCGCAGCCCCCCACTTACCAGGAATACATACAAGTTAATGTATCTCATTAAAAACTCAAGTGTTTTTTTTTCTTTTTTTTTTTAAAATTCCTCTCCCTCCCCCTCCCATCGAGATTAAGATTTAATTTTACAGATGGATTATAACTGCTCTTTTAAGTGCCATTCTTTTAGGGACAAGTTAATTGATCAGGCTAAGGAGAGGAAAAACCTTCCGCAGCAGAACGGAGTCCATAAAGTACGCGACACGCGTTGATTCGTGAGGAGCTGCAGAATTCCGTCCCCTTGAGATCCACTCCAAGGGAAGGGAAGGCTTTGCTCATCCTTCAGTGGATCTCAGCCCACGTGTGCAGCACACCCCTCTCTGCTGGGCAGGCACTGAGCCCTGCTGGCAGCAGTGGCACCGCGGCGGCTCAGCACGGAGCTCCGAGCTGTTGGGGTCGCTGCCTCCACCGCACCGTGCGGCTCCTGGAGCTCCTGCAGCCCCAGCAGTGCCGGAGCACAGCAGGCTGCTGCCACGCTCCTGTCAGACATCCAGCCCAGAGCTGTTCATTGGACAGAGACAAGACACCAAACCTCAGAGCCAGAGGACAAAAGAGGAAAGAAAAAGGCAGATACAGGACAGGTGCGTGTTTTCTTTGTCACGTTACTTTATGTAACTTCACATAACTGTTGCCATAGGAACATTATGCAGGGTACACTTATGGTTTGGCTTTATGGTGTTCTCCATGTACCAAAATCTTACTTAAAGTATTTAGTAAAACGTAACCTTGCTCCTCCCTTAGTGCTGCACAGAGCAGAAACTACTGGTGAGCTTTCGACCTGTTGCCTGTCTTTGGAAGCTTCTAACTTCAAAGAAGAAAGACTTCTGCATCCTTGTCTAGGCAGCTGAAGTCCCCATTACTCATCTTCTGTGAGTACAACAACAGCATCTTCTCACTACCACCAAAAGGAAGATCTGATTTCTTGATTATCAAACACACTCGGTAAGCTGTCAATTCACATGACATATTGCAAGTTAAATAACTCAAGTAAAAATTCACTTTAACTTTGCTGTATTTATATACTATATAAATTTTACATGCTAAATATTTACAGTGGGGCAAGTGCTTTTTATCTTTAAAAAAACAAAGATCATACTTCAGACATCTCTGAACAACACAGCTTGTATAAACCAGACAGATTATTCAGATGAACTGTATTTAATACAGGTTCCCCACTCATCTCCTGATGCAGGACCAGTGAATAATAAGTGCATCACAGTTTGATAGCATTTAATAATAAAAAATAAAATCACAGTATGAATTTGTCTGTAACTAGAAACTTTTGAGACGAAACAAACAACTGAGACTTGAGACAAGTGACGCTATAAAAACAAATGTAATAAAAACATATGGGAGTATACAAATAGTCTGAGAGATACATTCAGAACTGCATATTCTGATCATTATGTTCCACTTGCTGAAAACCAGAACATATTCTTCGATCTTGAGCGTAAATAAGATGTGAATTAGTTTCTAGTGTCAGACGTCACAGAAAAAGGATGAAGATCTTGCAGAACTCCGTAGTTGTTGGAGAGCTTGTGAAATCTTAAATAAGTCTTCAAATAAAATATACAGACTGTCAGTTGCAGATTTTATAATCCTGTGGTTTTCCTGGTCGCTCTTGAACCAGATGTCGAACTTGGAGTAACATTACATGAATAACACACAATCAACCTGAGTATGTAATTAAGCAGCATTTGAGATGTTCAATTCCAGGGCATTAGTTTTAGTGAGATATTCACATGGAAATTCACAATGTTCAGCAGTTGTAGAAAGTTTCCACTCTTTTGGATTAGAAGTACGTTTTAAAAAAGAAAGTCTCAAGTTTAAAAACTAAAAACAAAGTTCTTTCATGGTAAAATTCTTCACAGAAATCTGAAGCACCACGTATGATTAGGCTTGGTTCAGTGGTAATGTTGCCAGTGAGATAAATTCGAAGTTTTGATGCTTAATGTATTTTGATAATGTTGAGTTGTTTGTGTAGATGGCTAAAACGTGTTGCTCTTGACTGATAGTGAATGTCACTGATGGGAGCATTGGGATGGCAAAAGTGTTGATGGTGAAAAGGTGTTGGTTGTGAATGATACCGAAACTCGCTGTGAGGAATGCTGGGATGGCTAACGTGTTGATGGTTAAAACGTGTTGGTTTTGATTGATAGCTAAAGTCATTGATGTGAGTGCAGGGATAGCTAAAGTATTGATGGCTAAAAGGTGTTGGTTCTAACTGATGGATAAATTCACTGATGGGAGCACTGGGACAGCTAAACTATTGAGGGCAAAAAGGCATTGGTTTTGACTGATAGTTATGGTCACTGATGGGAGAACTGGGATGGTTAAAGTACTGATGGCTGGAAAGTGTTGGCTTTAAGTGGCTTTGAGTCTCTGATGGGAGTGCTGGGATTGCTAAACTTTTGTGGGCTAAAAGGTGTTAATTTGGACTGACAGTTATAGTCACTGATGGGAGCATTGGTATGGCTAAAGTATTGTAGGCTAAAAGGAGTTGGTTTTGATGGATACTTAAAGTCACTGATGGGAGCACTGGGTTTTAATTATGTTTGAAGTCACTAGCGGGAGCCCTAGCATGGCTAAAATATTGATGGCTAGAAGGTGTTAGATTTGATTCATGGTTAAAGTCACTGATTGGAGTTTTGGAATGGCTAACGTATTAATGGCTGAACGGTCATGGTTTTTATTAATACTTCAAGTCACTGATGGGAGTGTATGGATGGCAAAACTTCAACTGTTTAAAAGGTGCTGCCTTTAACAGATGGATAATGTCACTGACAGGAGCAATGAGATGGCTAAAGTATTGCTGGCTACAAGGTGTTGGTTTTGACTGATGGTTAGAGTCACTGATGTGAGAGCAGGCAGGGCTGACATACTGATGGCTGAAAGTTGTTGGTTGTGACTGATGGTTATAGTCACTGATGAAAGGGCTGGTATGGCTCCGTACTGATGGCTAAAAGGTGTTAGTTTGGACTGATGATTACGGTCACTGATGGGAGAGCTGGCAGAGTTGATGTACTGATGGTTAAATGACGTTGGTAGTGACTGATGGTTATAGCCACTGATGGGAGGGCTCGCATGGATAAAGTACTGGTGGCTAAAAGATGCTGGTTGTGACTGACAGTTATAGTCACTGATTGGATGGCTGGCATGGCTGAGGTACTAAAGGCTAAAAAGTATGGGGTGTGACTGATGGTTATAGTCACTGATAGGAGGGCTGGCAGGGTTGACAAACTGCTGGCTGAAAGATGTTGGTTGTGACTGATGTTGTAGTCACCCTTGGGTAGGATGGCATGGCTGAAGTACTGATGGCTATAAGGTGTTCGTTTTGACTGATGGTTAAAGTCAATGATGGGAGAACTGTCCTGACTGAAGTACTGATAGCTAAATGATAGCTTGGCTGATGTCATGATGGCTGAGAGATGTTGGTTGTGACTGATAGTTAATGTCACTGCTGAAAGGGCTGGCAGGGCTGAAGTACTGATGGCTGAGAGATGTTTTTTGAGACTGATGGATAAAGTCACTAGTGAAAGGGCTGGCTTTGCTGAGGTACTGGTGGCTAAAAGATGTTGGCTGTGACTGATGGTTATAGTCAGCGATGGTAGGGCTGGCAGGGCTGAAATACTGATGGCTGAGAGATGTTTTTTGTGACTGATGGTAAAGTCACTGGTGGAAGGGCTGGCAGGGCTGAGGTACTGATGGCTGAGAGATGTTTGTTGTGACTGATGGTTATAGTCAGCGATGGTAGGGCTGGCAGGGCTGACATACTGCTGGCTGACAGATGTCGGCTCTGACTGCTGGTTCAAGTCACTGGGTGGAGGGCAGGCATGACTAAAGTATTGGTGGCTAAAAGATGTTGCTTGTGACTGATGGTGATGGTCACTGGTGGGAGGGCAGGCAGGGCTGCAGTACTGATGTCTGAGAGATGTTGGTTGTGACTGATGGTTATAGTCACTGGTGGAAGGGCTGGCTTGGCTGAGGTACTGGTGGCTAAAAGATGTTTTTTGTGACTGATGGATAAAGTCACTGGTGAAAGGGCTGGCAGGGCTGAGGTACTGATGGCTGACAGATGTTGGTTGTGACTAATGGTTACAGTCAGCGATGGTAGGGCTGGCAGGGCTGACATACTGCTGGCTGACAGATGTCGGCTCTGACTGCTGGTTAAAGTCACTGGGGGGAGGGCAGGCATGACGAAAGTATTGGTGGTTAAAAGATGTTGGCTGTGACTGATGCTTAATGTCACTGGTGAAATGGCTAGCAGGGCTGAGGTATTGGTTGCTAAAAGATGTTGCTTGTGACTGATGGATAATGTCACTGGTGGAAAGGCTGGCTTGGCTGATGTACTGGTGGCTAAAAGATGTTGGCTGTGAGTGATGGTGATAGTCACTGGTAAAAGGGCTGGTAGGGCTGAAGTACTGATGGCTGAGAGATGTTGGTTGTGACTGATGGTTATAGTCACTGGTGGGAGGGCTGGCAGGCCTGAAATACTGATGGCTGAGAGATGTTTTTTGTGACTGATGGTTATAGTCACTGCTGGAAGGGCTGGCAGGGCTGGGGTAGTGATGGCTAAAAGATGTTGGTTGTGACTAATGGTTATAGTCAGCGATGGTAGGGCTGGCAGGGCTGACATACTGCTGGCTGACAGATGTCGGCTCTGACTGTTGGTTAAAGTCACTGGGGGGAGGGCAGGCATGACTAAAGTATTGGTGGCTAAAAGATGTTGGCTGTGACTGATGGTTAATGTCACTGGTGAAAGGGCTGGCAGGGCTGAGGTACTGGTGGATGAGACATGTTGGTTGTGACTGATGGTTATAGTCACTGGTGGATGGGCTGGCCTGGCTGAGGTATTGGTGGCTAAAAGATGTTGGCTGTGACTGATGGTTAATGTCACTGGTGGAAGGGCTGGCTTGGCTGAAGTACTGATGGCTGAGATATGTTGGTTGTGACTGATGGTCATAGTCACTGATGTGTAGGATGGCATGGCTGATGTAATGATGGCTGTGAGATGTTTTTTGTGACTGATGGTGATAGTCACTGGTGGGAGGGCTGGCAGGTCTGACATACTGATGGCTGAGAGATGTTGCTTGTGACTGATGGATAAAGTCACTGGTGGGAGGGCAGGCATGACTAAAGTATTGGTGGCTAAAAGATGTTGGCTGTGAGTGATGGTTCAAGTCACTGGGGGGAGGGCAGGCAGGGCTAAAGTATTGGTGCTAAAAGATGTTGCTTGTGACTGATGGTTATAGTTACTCTTGGGAGGGCTGGCAGGGCTGAAGTACTGATGGCTGAGAGATGTTGGTTGTGACTGATGGTTATAGTCACTGATGTGTAGGATGGCATGGCTGAGGTATTGGTGGCTAAAAGATGTTGCTTGTGACTGATGGATAATGTCACTGGTGGGAGGGCTGGCTTGGCTAAAGTACTGGTGGCTAAAAGATGTTGGTTGTGACTGATGGTCATAGTGATGTGTAGGATGGCATGGCTGATGTACTGATGGCTGTGAGATGTTTTTTGTGACTGATGGTGATAGTCACTGGTGGGAGGGCTGGCAGGTCTGAAGTACTGATGGCTGAGAGATGTTGGTTGTGACTGATGGTTATAGTCACTGGTGGATGGGCTGGCTTGGCTGAGGTATTGGTGGCTAAAAGATGTTGCTTGTGACTGATGGATAATGTCACTGGTGGAAGGGCTGGCGTGGCTAAAAGATGTTGGTTGTGACTGATGATTATAGTCACTGATGGGAGGTCTTGCCTGGCTAAAGTACTGATGGCTTAAAGCTGTTGGTAGTGAGTGATGATTAAAGTCAGAAATAGTAAGACTGGCCTGGCTGAAGTATTGGTGGCTGAGCGTTTTTAGTTTGGACTGATGCTTATAGTCACTGATGTTAGGGCTGGCAGGGCGGATGTACTGCTGGCTGAAAGATGTTGGTTGTGACTGATGGTTATAGTCACTGTTGAGAGGGTTGGCAGGGCTCAAGTATTGGTGCCTAAAATGATTTCGTTTGAACTGATGGTTATAGTCACTGATGGGAGAGCTGGCAGAGTTGACATACTGATGGCTGAAAGATGTTGGTTGTGACTGATGGTTATAGTCACAGATGGGAGGGCTGGTATTGGTGAAGTTCTAATGGCTTCGTGGTTTTGGCTTTGATGGTAAAAGTAATTGATGGGAATATTGAGATGGCTGAAGTATTGCTGGCTAAAATTTATTGTTTTTGATTAATGTTTAATATCTCTGATGGTGGTATTAGGATGGCTGAAGTTCTTCCAGCTGCAATGTGCTGGAGTTGATGGTATAAGTCACTGTTGGGAGACTTCGAATGGTGAAGTAGTGATGCCTAAAAGGTGTTGGTTTTGATTGGTAGTTAAAGTCACTGATGGGAGCACTGGGATAAGTCAAGTTATGGCGAAAAGGTGTTGATTTTGATGGATAGTTCAAGTCACATATGGGAATGATGGGTTGAATAAATTATTCATGTCTAAAAGGTGTTGGTTTTGATTGATAGGTTAAGTCACCGATGGGAGTGATGCGACTGCTAAACTTTTGCACGCCAGAAGCTGTTGGTCTTATGGTTAAAGTCACTGATGGAAGCACTTGTATGGCTGAAGTATTGATGGCTATAAGGTGTTAGTTTTGATGGTTAGTTAAAGTCACAGATTAGGAACACTGGGTTTTAACTGATGGTTGAAGTCAGTAACGAGAGCCCTGGGATGGTTGAAGTACTGATGGCTAGAAGTTGTTGGTTTTTATTAATGGTTTAAGTCATTGATAGGAGCAGTGGAATGTCTGAAGTATTGATGGCTAAAAGTTGTTGGTTTAAATAGATGATTAATGTCACAGATGGCAGCAATGGGATGGCTGAAGTATTGGTGGCTAAATGGTATTGGTTTTCACTGATATTTAGTGTCACTCATGAGAGTGTTGGAATGGCTAAAGTATTGATGGCTAAAAGGTGTTGGTTTTTATGGATAGTTAAACTCACTGATGGGAATATTGGAATGGCTAAACTTTTGCTGGCTAAAATGTGTAGGTTTTGACTGATTAAGTGGTTAAAATCACTGATTGGAGCACTGTCATGGCTAAATATTGATGACTACAATTTGTTATTTTTGACTGATAGTTCAAGTTACTGATGTGAGTGTTGGGATGGCTAAAGTATTGCTGGCTGAAAAGTGTTGGTTTTGACTGATATTTAAAGTCACAGATGGGAGGTTGGTTGGCTAAAATACTTATGGGTAAAAGCTGTCGTTTTTGACTATTAGTTAAAGTCACTAATGGGAGCACTGGGATGGCTAAAGTATTGATGGTTAAAAGGTGTTGGTTTTGACTGACAGTTGCAGTCAGGGGCTAAAGTATTGATGGTTAAAAGGTGTTGGTTTTGACTGACAGTTGCAGTCAGGGATAGGAGCATTGGGATCACTAAAATGCTGACATTTAAAAGGTGTTGGTTTTGATTGATGGGTAAAGTCACTATGGGAGTGTTGGGATTGCTAATGTGTTGATGGCTAAAAGGTGTTGGTTTTGACTGATGGGTAAAGTCACTGTGGGAGTGTTGGGATTGCTAATGTGTTGATGGCTAAAAGGTGTTGGTTTTGACTGATAGTGAATGTCACTATGGGAGTGTTGGGATTGCTAATGTGTTGATGGCTAAAAGGTGTTGGTTTTGACTGATGGGTAAAGTCACTATGGGAGTGTTGGGATTGCTAATGTGTTGATGGCTAAAAGGTGCTGGTTTTGATTAATGGGTAAACTCACTGATTGTAGCGATGAGATGTCTAAAGCAGTCGATTCTGATGATGTGAAGTGTTTGTTTTTGTTGAAAAGTTGTTGGCTTTGATGGTTGTTTTAGTTTGAGTATTGAAGGCCTCAATTAGTAATTCGCATCTGAAAGACAAATAGAGAATGTCATTCCCTGCTGTGGGGTTCAAGGTGTAGCTGTCTGGCTCATTGTCCTTACTTCTAAGCAGGAAGGTCCCAAATCTGCATGCAGTTTGATCAACTCTGTGACTGCAGGGCTGATCTGACTGGGGAAGGCTCCTGAGAATCTCTCAGCAAAGTGACTCTATTTCAGTCCTATGCTAGCAACTCTGCTAACTGCACAGAATACTAGGATAACACTTTAACAGCAAAGGGCACATCTTATCTGTACATCAGCTTACACAGCATCTTTGTTTCATTAATCATCTTGTGGTCAACCTGACCAAATCTCAGCTTAAAAAACAGAAGCTTTCAGAAACTTGCTGGAGAACATATGAACGCAGGAAAATAAAGATTTTAAAACTTCTCTCTTCTATCTGCTTTTTCCTTAAGCCATGAGCTACACCTGGCTCATTTATTCACAGTAATATCAGTCTGGGTGAAAGGCACAACCTAACAAGTCCTTCTCAGTCCTTCACTACACTTTCTTAATCTATTTTTGACTAGTGTAGAAAAAAAAAGTTTGCCATCTGCTGGCCAGAGAATTCACTAGAGCCAGAAGAGCATTAGAGGACATGCATTTTTACCTGTGCTGTTCCTGATTGATCAACTAAAACAGAGATACTTAAAATTTAGTACAATTGGGATTCTTTTGACATTAGCATCATAAGAAGTCTGGTTTTTACAACAGTAATAGTCCTCATTTCTTTTTTTCAGCAAAGGGACAGATATAATATTAAAGCTCACAGTAATGTGTGATCAGCCAGCCTTCTCCAAAATACCGTATCCTTAGATTAAAACTTCTGGTTGTCAGCATCTTAAAATACAATCATGTTCCTCAACAACTGTACTTCACCTTGGGGAAACATTTCAGTGCCTGAATCCACCCACTGTGGCAATTTACTTCCCTATCCAAGCAAAGCAAGTCCTGCAGGTAAAAATTTTGTCTGGAAATTAACTTTTCCAAATATTGAAAGGCAGTTCGATGGAAAGCAGGAAGATTAATTCCTTTGCTTCCTGTGCCAGGATGACATTTTCAACACTGGACTATTATCAAAAGGGATTGCCAGGGGCTGTTAAGCCAACTGATAATTATGGGTAGGTATAAAATGTCAAAGTTCAAGATGAAGCTTGCCTTCAATAGCAAGCTATCTTCTTCAGAGATTACCTTCGTTACCTATAAGAGGTAAACACATTTGGACAGGGAGGGAGATTGATTTTAAGAACAGATGCAGTCTTGCTAGTAATGCAGCTGGTATTTTTAGAGTACTGATATACTGTACACACAAATACTTGGATTATATATGAATAGATTTAGAAAAAAAAAGTGAACCTTTAGAAATTTTACAGCCCTGCTGAATCAGTATGTCTCTATAGTCCTAACCAATGCGGCAATTTATCCTACTGTGAGTGCTTATTAAAATATCCAAGTAATTGGGACTGGGATCTCATGTCAGGCATCTAAGGTTGTTTCTAAGTAACACACACTCTGTTTAGGAAAAAAATAGTGGAAAATGTTGTCAAATTTGATGTTTAGCGGCTGAATTTGTTACAGTGTACAATGTTCCTCATCATATAACGCTAGAGCTAATTAATTTAGACTGTATTATCTACTGAGTGTCCAGGTCAGGATGATGAGAAGAACAGAGAGTTCAGCATGAATTAAACCAGGGACTCAGATTGGTACTGTCTGTACAGAAAACTAACTACAAACTTGACTTTTTTAGACAAAAAATGGGGAAGCGGCTATTTTGTCAGCTTGTTTCTCTGTATTTTTAACCCTACACTAATAGGAAAAATAACTCAATGAGAAGTAAAACAGCAGCAGGAATTTAACATACTCTCCAGGTGTTACATCATAAAGGATTTCTGGAGGGTTAAGAACTGTGAATCCAGTGCGCTTAGAAGGCAAATCTACATCTGAAACAAAACTGAGTCAGTATTACCACCAACTTATGCTACTCTGAATAAGCAGTCAGCACTAGTTCTGTCTTACAATAAAGCTGAACATAGGCTTTTATTTAAAGAAATTATTCTGGCAGTCTTTTTTAAGAAGATGGTGTTCCAGTACAGCAGTACCAACCTGGAAGTCTCCCTTCTCTCTCAACTACTCTGCCTCCTAATTTTTCCCAGTTAGTTGGACTGAATCTAATATGGTATCTTACATCTCTCCGTCCTGTTCACCACTTAGCCTTCAAATTTAAACCCAAAAGATTTGTTTCTACACCTCTTTGATTCAGACTTTATTTCCTAGTGATCCTTCAAGCATAGGGGAAAAAAATAGCTTATTAACCTCTTCCTTCTCCTTAAATATTTCTGCGGACTATTTGGACTGTGCATAGTACAAAGATTTCAGCAAGCATTTAAAGGCTGTTTTAATAACCTCTACATGAATTAAAAAAAAAAAATCTGAACGTCCAGCGGCCCCTTACCTTTAATATTCTCACTGGATGCAATGGAGATCTAGTTCTTGATTTCACCCCCACAGGAAGGCTTGCGTTCCTTGTCGGGTTGTCTACTGCCCTCATTTCCATATTGCTCACAATAACAGTCACCAGGAGGGCAAGACTCTTCCTTCTCCCATGCTTCCTTCTGGAAACGAAGATCCAAATATTCCAAGAAGCCTTTCACTTTCCTGGTGTGTTTCTTCTTTTTCTTTTTTTTCTTACGTTTGCGATTGTCATTGTCGAAGTGGAGGACAGAGAAATCCGAATCATAAAGTCTGAAGGAAACATGCAAGTTAAAAATAGAAGAAAGATGTAGCACTTGATGCATACACGAAATGTTACTTATTTTACCACAGGTGATGATTTGCAGCGTGTCAGCTATTGTGTGGCACCTTGTGCACATCTAACTATAGATGCAGCAAACGTAAGCCCTCAGATTGAAGATCCTGGTTTGTAAACAAATCACTAACATTGGCTAGTTCTGGAATATATGCAATTAAAAAAAACATAATAGTTTTTAGCTAATTGAGAATGGTATGCAGATGTGATTCTAACTATGTGGTCCAAATATAGTGTTCTAATACAATTCAGCAAAGCCTTTCCTATCTTCACTTGATCAACCTAATAACATGGGCCCCAGCCAGATCATGCTATAAAACTAAGTTAGAAACAATGAAAAAAAAGGAAGATACGAGAAACACCCAGAAAAAAATTAGGAAGAAATTGCTGAGTATGCTGGAATCCTTGCTTACTTGTAATCCTTCTCTCGATGTTTATCTTTGGACTTCTTTTTCTTCTTGGCTTTGTATTTCTTCATCTTTTCATCATCCAGAACTTCTTTTTCTACTTTTCTGCTTTTCCTTTCTGTTTCACTTTCACTACTTTCTGCATATTTTCTTTTTCTGTCACTTTGTTTTTCATTTTTGGGAGAAAAGTCCTCAAAATTTAAATGAGTTGGTGGAACAGGTGGAAGCATATGTCTTTCATGAGAATATTTTTCAGATTGCTGCTGGACTACTAAACAGTGTCCTGAGTCTGCTCTGAGTCTGAGATTGCTAAAGTTACGTACATCCTCCTCTCTAGAGGGTGAGTTGTGAGGCCGTCTGCTTTTGTAATGATACTCCTTGTGTGACCTGATGTAAGCTTGACTTGATTTGGCAAAATCTTTATTGTAATGGGAGAACTTTCTTTCTCGACTATCTCCTTTTGCATGAGAATAATAGTAATCATTGTAGTGTCTGCATTTTTGCCATCTCCAGGATTCATCTTGATAATATCTTTCTCTGCTCCAAGTTCTCTCTTCTTTGGAATAGTAATATCTATTCCTATCTTGTTCATGTCCTCTGCTTCGAGATCTGTAATGAGAATATTTCCCTGAGTTTCTGCTGACATCAGGGCTGTTTCTTTCAGCATAGGAAGATCTGTATCTGTTTCCATTGCAATATTCCTGCTTGTGACGACTTTGCTTATTTGTTTCCACACTATGAGAGCACCTCCTCTTGTGGAAATGACCATCCAGTTTTTTGTTTTGCTTCTCTCTCTCTTCTGTATCAGAGTGCTCTCTTTTTCTTCGGTAGTGCTCTTTGTCAGTTTTTTTAGAATCATATACATTTTTACCTTTCTTCCTATGCTTATTTTCTTCACAATTCCTATTAGTTGGTCCCTTGTTTTCTCTAGAAAATTGACTCTCTAAAACTTTATCCAGCTTTGTAATAGAAGAGTCATTAACAGGTGGTACATCTACATAGTTCTTAGATATGTCCTTTGTAACTTGGCATTTATCTGGAGTATCTAGACACACAGGCTTTTTAGAATTACATTCAAAATCAGACTTTATAGAGGAAGCCTGTCCTAATTCCTCTTCAGTGTCAGGAGACCCTTTGATATACAAAGGATTTTCTTTTGAAATGAGATCAAGTTCTTTTGATCTTCTAGGTTTGTCTTTGTCACCACTGTCTTCAGACTCAAAATTTACAAGGAATTCATCTTCAGTGTCCAAGGATCTTTTTCTAACCTTGTGCTGACCATTGACATTGGGTTGTGCATTATCAGCTTTTGTTATAATACTTTCGGTAACTTCTTTGGCAGAAATAGTTTCAGAACTCGATTGAATAAAAAGATTCCCAGCCTCATAGCTCAAGTTAGAAGAAAGTTTCCGGGATTCATAGACAAACAGCGCTTCCATCATTACTGTTTCCATAAGATAATTGTTCTCAGAAGATTTCTGAGGTCCAGGGACACTGCACAAAATAAAAACACTTTTGTTGAAAGAGATGAATATTAAAAGTAAGAGGCTGTCATACAAATCTAAGCAAACAACCAACCAACAAACCACAACCCACCCACCCAAAAGCTCATGACTACTGGAACCCTCTTTAAGACACTCAATTTAAACACCTATCTTTTGATTATTACTCTCTACCCAGCTTTCAGAAAAAGTGCTTTTTTTCCATCTTGCTTCTAGGTGTACTGCAATAAGACAAACAAACAAAAAAGCCCAACACATCTATCTTCTTCCACTTACTGATCTGACTGCCATCAATAGCCAAAACTGCTCTATCTGCTCTCCTATTCCAACTAGAAAAAACAATTGAAACACAGATTTCTCACTGTCTCCCAAATGAGAGAGCAGCTGATGAAAATTTACATTTACATATGCTAGTGCTGTAAAAAAGGAGAAACAGACACTTCTACAGACAATGGTGAAAAATGGAAAAACATTCTATGAAGAAACAGAAGTTTTCCATGGGGCACCAACCCGCGCCAGAGTCACAGGCACTGTGCTGATCACCAGTTCTGCTCATAACACTAGACATATGGTATAGAATTCTCTCTATGGACTTTAATTGGAAGATTTAAGAGTATGTAGGCAGGTAAAAAACCATGAAAAAGTTGCATAAAACATTGTAATCAAACTGTTTTCATTTTACCTTATTTCCTCTGACAAGCTGTTCAACTGGCTGAATGTAAAGGAATCTAGGATTATTTCTTGAGAGACTGGAGACAAAGCTATAGGCATCTGCAATTAAAACATAGAAATTAATAGGTAGAAAAAAAAAAGGTATTTGTAGCAGTATTGCAGACTAGTGTTTTCAGAAATTCTACATTAAATTTATGCAAGACAGCTTTGAGTTATATGTGCTAGCTGCACTTTACATGTAACTCCAACTCACTCCCAAAAATATACTTTATGAAATTTATGAAGTTTTATCTCAACTGTACTTGAGTTGGTATGTTTTAATATCAGCTCAGCTCTGCACATTCTAATGGGATAATATCACGTAGTGCTATGAACAAATTTGTGTTGTTTTCTCAGTATTTCACATGAATTGGGAACATTATAGCACTCCTGAATACATCATAGGTGAGAAATTCTAGATGGAAAAAGCATAACTTACTGTTTCAAGCACTCCATTGGTTTTAGAAAATAACATTTTGGAAGGTTTAACAGACGGGACTTGGCAACTGGACTCATCAAGTTTCAGTCCATTTTCTTTAGGTTCATTATCTAAACTATTAGCACCATTTAGTGAATCATTTTTTGGCAGCTCATGCTGGGATCTTTCCTCTTCAGCATTCTGACAGGAAGAATAGGAATCCTGCAATGTACAGACCTTTCCAACCAAAATTCCATTAGAAGTTACTACGTTGCAATTCCTTGTAAATAAGCCTCCTGACTCCTCCTCAGATTTTCCTGAAAATTCTGTACCATAAGAGACTACGTTAGGAATTCCATTCATCACTGGCTCAATTAAAATGTCATCCAAAATTTGTTGTTCGAAAATATTAGCAGCTAACATTGTAGATGCATTTGAGGTAGACTCTGCTGCACAATAATGTGTAATTGTGGATGAAGGAACAGACATCATCATCTCCTCCTCCTCCAGAGCACGAAGACAGTCAGGCTGTGACGCTGTCTGACGTGCAGGCAATTGGTTCTGAATACCGACAGACATCTTCTGGCTTCTTGATGGGTCGGTAATTGAAGGCCTGATCATTGACAAGTTTTGAACACAGGCTATGGGTGGAGCTGAAGCTGGCCTTTTTAAGGTGACATCTACGGAATTGGTACCTTCTTGTAAAAATACATTTCCATTTAAACGACTTGAATTCTGTGTTTAAAAAGAAGAGATTGCAAGATGGGTAAATGCAAATTCTGCAAATTATCTAAACATCTAAAAAGAAAAAAACCACCACCCTTCAAATACAAAGGCAAGTCCAATAAATGGTAACTTCCCAGTTTCCTTTCACTGCATAATGCTTTCAAGTGGATGTCACTTTTGAAATCCATTCAAACAGCTTAACACTGTAGAAAGATATGCCCAAATATGCTTATTTCCCCCTTTAAACATACCCTGAAAACACCAAACTAATTGTTCTGGTGGTCAGATACAAGACAAATGGATTTCACTGTCTCACCTAAAGTGACACTGATAGGAAAAATATTTTTTTAATTATTTAAGTATTAAATAAGTATTTAAATAGTAACATAAGAGCTGTGAAAAAAGCTGCACACGGGAAAGGAAAATAAAACTAAGATGCTGAAAACAAATAAAAATCCCACACTCCACTATCAATTTAGCGCCATTATCTGCTCCCCACCATTCCCTACTCCCCTAAATTACCTTAATCATATTAGGAGGAAGTCGTGGTCCCATAAAGCCAGCCTGCTTACTATTAGTCTCACTCTCATCACGGAGTGAATAGGGATGAGGCTCTGGTAAGTAAAATTCACTTTCTCCAAGTGTCAGATCGTAGCGCCTTCAGAAAAGAGTAGTGATCTTAGTTTAGAGCTTGTCTTTCAGCCTGCTCTTGGATTAAATCCTATCCGAAAGTTTTAGAGGAACAGTTCATAGGATACAGAAGTCGTATGTGGAAGACTTAAAACTACAAACTAAAAAATAGATAATGGTTTTCATACAATCCCTTCCAGAGCAATAACTTAGTCTTACGCAACTTACCACCTCACTTTCTCCCTTTTTCTAAATTAGTCAGCTACATATAACAGCTACACAGCAATTTGCAAACAGTAGCACTTTAAGGCCAAGCAATGAACACTAATAAATAACAGGGAGTTTCAAGTTAGACAGAGCTGAATTATACAAGTAGTATTTTCCTAGAACAGAAAGAAAAACACTTGAAAAGAAGAAAAATGTAAATAACAGGAAATTAAATATGTTCTGAACACATTTTAATATTTGTTATTACCTGATATAAAATAGTAAATAAGCTTGCTGACTTAGGACTGTTTTGATGTTACTTCGCACTACCGAAGCATCATTCATCTGATACCAAAGTCCATCAGCAGCCTGCAAATAAAGACAATCTTCAGATAACTGCTTGTTTTCCAAATGAAATCACTAACAAGACACCACAGAACAACATCTACACAAACATAAAATGAAATCTTTTGCTCAAGGAACAGTGGTTACCAATAACATTTTAACTGGTTTACAGTTAAATTGAGCACAAATTTAACATGCAAGAATGATGTTGAAATCTACCTTTATGAAGCAGTAGTAGTGTCCTGAATGAGAATCGGAACCATTGTGAACCAAGACAGCATATAAAGCATAAATGAGTGGCTCTCCAGCTGATTGAGACATATAAGCTCGAAGATCAAAGTACTCAGGATATTCAATTGCCTCAAGAGAGAACAAGAAGATACAAACATTATCTCCAAATACTTCATTTTGGCTAGCTTGGGAAACTAGCCTGGGAACAACATGTTCAAATAACAAAGATTAGAATTACGAGGATTACTTCAAAAGTAATGCCTCCTGTTTTATGATATCAGCTCATGACATCAGAGGTGGCTGCTGGTGGGATGGAACAGAGGTTGAACCTTTTCACCAACATTCTGTGACAAGCTGCCGTGTGACAGAGGGCAGCGGGAGGCACTCTGAATATCTGGCCTTTGGAAATGTCCAATTCCAAGATGATAAAGTTGTACTACAGCTGTAAATGTACCTTGGTGATCTTCGCACCCGTGAAATCTGCAAATCTTTTCAGTGATACTGTAAGTACATTTGGAGAACGATGTATTGTAAACCTCTTTGAGGCTGGCGCCATCTTCATGCATCTTAAAAACAAGCACAGACAGCTGTTTAAAAGCATCTTTGCTTTTCCACCCAAGTCAAACATACAAAATACATAACATGTATTTTTCTTTCATAAATCCTACACTGCCTTTCAGGTTTGTTAATACAGAGTGGATAGGAGGATATAAGAGGACATCTCAAGTGAACAAAAGAACAAAGGATTTAGAACATTTTCTTTTGATAGCCAAACAAATGTCTGAACATGTACTTTTGTTACGCCTAAAAGGTAAGGCTTCACAACAGCTCAGAGCGCAGCATGAACACGAATCTATCATTAGGTTGTATCACTAAGGCAAGGATGGTAAGGCAAGGTACCATTTCTTGTTACACAAAAATTGCTACTTGGAACTTGAGTCCTGGATAAACTTTCAGCTTTCTAGTGGAATACAAATACTGAAAGTGGAACAAGGGAGCCTCAGTCCTCAGGACTAGTTACAGCAAATCATTTCCAAAATGGATCATCTATCAACATCAAAAATACAAGAGAAACACACAGTCCTTCTACAAGAGGGAGATGTCTGACTTATGTCTTTATGTACTGATGTTGTCTGGAAAGAGACTGAAACCATCTGCAACTCTTTGGAACACAACTGTTAATTTTAAGTTTGGTACATTGCCCACTCAAAGGCAGGATCTACAGTGCAAGCTGTGAAATACAACCATTAGCACAAAGTCTTTGTCAAGAAAAGTACTGTCGATAGCTAATAAAAAGAAAGAATAAAAATGTCTCTCTTCAAATTCTGCTGTCAAAATACAAGGCAGAGAGTTCCAAACCAGAGGAAAATGTCTAAGATCAAAAAAGAATCCCTTCTTGAAAATAAACAAAAAAATCCAAGCATTTTATAGAATTACACAAAAACTGTAATTAGATACAAAGTTTTAAGGCAGTCACCTTTACTAGAAAAAAAAAATCATGGCAGGAATGAAAAGACACATCAATTGCAAAAAAAATGAAGGAATAGGATAGTTTATCAGCAGAGGACAAGGTACTGTACATTCACAAGGCTGTTCTTTCTAAATTTGCAAAAAGATTGAGAATCTCAGCTTCGTGTGTGACTCAGCTGCACAGAGCAAGTAATGATGGGCTGTGCAATTCAGATGTGAGGTGCTTGTTACACTTATCTTACTCTTCATCAGACACAATCTGTAAGTTATGGGAATTCTGAATACACGACGTTGCTCTCTAGAATCCACAGACTAAAATGAACTTGGGGTTAAATTATTTTAACAACCTATTGGATGCTCTTCATTCAACCTACTAATTTTCTTACAGTTTTCTAACAACAAAAAGCAGATACTGCATTTTGCACTTGGAAGTACCAGACAGAAATCCTACAGAAACGAGCCTGACAGACTTTGCTTTTCTGAGTATATGTTTGAAGAACAACTTGTTTTGCCAAACTATATCATACAGATGTTCAATTACTTCTCACAGACACAGAAATGTTTTTCATATCTTAACTCGATACGCTTTCACCAAGTGAAGGTTAGGTGGGAAGGTAGTTCACTTAAGACAGCAGTAGCTCATGTTTTACATTTCAAGAACTGTTCAAGGCACTGTATTGCAAGCCAGCAGAGGCTGCTAACACGACTTATCATGGAGCCAGCTCGCATTCACTGAGACAAAGTCTAACTTTGTTTCCCAGGGAATGCTAGGATCTTCAGCAGCCTGCTGTTGCCTCCTATCCCAAATTACAGTCCATAGCTCTCTGATAAGTAGCAGTGAGCTGAAGCAGACATGTTTTAACTTCTGGCAATAGGAATATTTGAGCTCAGAACACACATCTAGGAGGCCTGACAAGCCACAGAGAAGACAACACTTAAATAAAATAATGTCAGCTAATGGCTTCACTTCTTTCATTTACAAAATATGTATTATTTTCAAGTTTTGAATTATTTCAGTGCATTAATTGTTTAAACAAAATGAAGCAAAGACAACAACAAAGGACCTGTGTCTCATTATTTCCAAATGAAGTAAAAAAGTAGCTTATGGTCTAAGTCGTGCAATACATGAATCCAGTATCTAATAGAAATATGTAACCAGTAGTAATCTTACTTGTTACATTTGTAGCAATTTTCACCATCCAGCTGTTCAGGTTTCACAAATTGTTCCAGAGCTTTGATAACAGATGAATCTGTCTGGAGAGATAAGAAAGAAGAGCATTAAGTCAAAGGAAATTCAAAATTCCAAAGACTTACTAGTAGTTCATGAGAGAATCTTGCTAATTCATACTTAGGAGATCTACTATGAACCAGCAAGCACTGTGAAGAAAGAAGCAGAAAGAGTATGCTCAGCACATACCTCATGTGAAAGCAATCTTACTTTGAAACAAATAATTCTGCAATGCCACAAGCAGCATCTGCAGTGTATTTTGTCATCAGTAATGGGGACTATCAAACTAATCGGTCTAATAATTACATTTATATTGAGGTAGATCAACAAAGAAGTACAACAGTATCACCATTTGCGGAAATACAGTAATTATTCTTCCAGCTTAAAGCCAATGCAGATGTGGAGATGGTTTACAGTGCTTCCACAGAAGGACAAAATCCAAGCCACTTCCCAATCACCACTCAGCTCTCGTTTTAACAACACGTTTTTTAAATTGAATGAGTTTACTTTAGAAAGTACATGCATTTAGACATCTTGAACTATATCTACAAAAAATCTTACCTTTATATCCAGAGGTATATCAAGGAATGGCTCATATGTATCCGACACTGCTTTGCAGTTCAAGCACTTTACTGGATTTAAAAACAAACAAACAAATGACAAATGCTTTATAAGTAATATGTGAAAGAGACTAACCGCCCGATCCCCAACTAATGATACATACTGCTAAAGTCACACTACAAAGTGCTTCACTACAAAAGATACAGATCAGTTCTAAGGACAGTAATATTGTTTTAAAGTACCTCTGGATCTTAGAAATCCTCCAAATATTTGATGAATGATGGTGGTTGCTTGAGAAGATCTGTCTAATCTGGAAACAAATGATAATCAGACCTCAGAAGATTTGAGGTACAGAATGAACTTTTCAAAGAGTTTTATGAAAGCCATGGACAGACTTTCATTTATGACATTAAATAGGAAACAAAAAGGTGCTAGAGAACATAGAGAAGGTAATTCATTTATGCTTACATGGTGCATCCATGCAAACACACTTCCTGCATAGCATCAACAGTGAAGCGTAAGAACTCGTGTGCATCTTCCTGAGCACCATGGCGGAAATGTTTTCCTATTCCTAATAAATAAAAAGGTTATAATATTTATCTCATATAAAAATGAAAGAAAACCATATTTCTAAAACCTCTCTTCCAAATAGTAACAAAACTATTTGTACACGTCATCTCCAAATATTGAAAGATATCGAAAAAGAAAAACATCTGAAATCACTTACGTTTAAGTTCATGGACAAAAACTACAGGCCTGATGGCATCATGAGCATAACACAAGACTCGGTTAACGTGAGTTTCCATAGTGCACATCATGCAGAAGCCTTGATAATTACCTGCATGGTGAAAGAAGAAAGCATCGCAGTCTAGTGAAATATACATAGCTACAAAGAAATAAGTCTTAACACAGGGAGGACACAACATCCATGCTCCATTCTGTTCTCCTAAAATGCCAATATCCCAGCAGTCTTGTGACATTTTCTTACACAAAATTCCCTATATAGAGTAAAAATATCCACCAAGCCTGTACTAAAATGCATTTTCTGATGAGAAATCTAGAAGACTACTGTAAAGTAATTTATTTTAAAGGCTGACAGGAATGTGAACTCCAGGCATATACATGAGGAGAGAACATATGACACTGATGATACAGCATTAAGAGAACATGTGTTATTTTCAGCACACTGCTGTCAGGTGAGCTTCTTGGTGAAGAGCTAAGAATCCTTTGGGAGAAAGGAAAGATGAAAGTAATGTATGCTATAATACTTCTGCCCTCCTTTTTTCAAAGAGATTTTTAATTGAAACAACTTTTACATACAGTAAGAAAACAGTTAAATTTCTAGGAATAAATACTAAGGTAGCAGATTAGAAAGCATGAAGGTGCCTTTGTAAATGCACACATATACAGGCATGATAAGAGTCTCCTAGGCTCAAATAAATTCAAGTATAACATTCAAAGAAAAGAGTATATAAAATACAAGACTTTATTTAGGACAAAGTCAGTCTACATTTTAATACAGTCCCACCGAAATTTGTAGTTGAGTTGGTAAGAGCCCAGCTCATACTGCTTTCTATAGTGAGTTTTTTTGTTGTTTTTGCTGTTGTTTTTTATACTGGCTCAACAACGATCACATCATTTATTCCAGTAGCGTATTACAGAATCTAGGCTGTGAAGACTAAGAATCTGTGATGCCAGCACCCTAAATTTTTCACCTTTCTACCAGCAGGAACCCCAGATGCCAAATGAAATGCATTATTTTCCAGTGCATTTCATTATTTACACAAAGCAAGAGATCATCTTTTTTTTTTTTTTTTTCCCCCCTCACCATGCTACATTAAACGCAAAATCACTCCATGTGCTGTTCTGAGCCCACTGTTAATACAATGTTCAAAGCCAACTTTTACAGGTAAAATCAGACAAGTACAATTTCTTACAGAATCACTGCTGCTATTTCAACCTCAGAGCTGTCCCACAGATTTCAAACAGTGTTACGAAGTACTCACACGACTGGGTATGCTCAAGGGAAAGCATGTAGTTGGCGAGTGGGGGTGTGTAGGTCAAACACTGTAGAGCAGAATTAATAAAACACGTATTGCCAAGATTGTAGAGTCCAACTCCAACATTTTGTGTTTGTTGCCAATCCATACAAATCTTCTCAGGTGGAAAAAGAATCCTTTGTGGTGGAGCAATTCCATCATTAATGACTGCAAGAAAGTTGTATTTAAAACATAAGGGCTTTTTGCTTGTTTAAAAAACAAGTATTTAAAAAATAGCATTCTGCAGGAGCATCCACAAGAACCAACAAAAATCCAAACCACAAAGTCTTATTATGGACAGCTTTAATATCACCACTCCAACTTGCTGGTCAACACACATGGTGGTGATGGACAATGTAAAAACAAGCAACTATCAGAGACGACAGCCCTATAGAGCACTGTTATCAGTCAAAAACTTGTGCATGACAACAACAAAGCGCACTTTTCTTTGCAAAACAAAGACATGGATGAATCTGTGTATTAAAAATTATCCCCATACTTCAGCATAGATTGCAAATGTATCAAGATTAGGTTCTGCAGCACCGATCCGCTTCAGTTGCCTTCGTCAATTCACTAACTTGAAATCTACTGTTGAAACCTATTCCCAGCAGTCCCATTTCACATCAGTGCAACATGAACTGCATTTCCTACTTTTGTTTTGCTTTGAAGAAAATGGAGGCATTATAAAAGACCACACTTACCTAAATCTTCGGTAAGAGGTCTAGCTTTTTTAGATGATCTACAATAAATAGCACCTCCACGTCCTTCGTTCACAGAGACCTGGTTTCGATCTTTTGCAGGTGGTATCCGGCTGCAGTTTGCAGTGCGTGACTTCATAGTTTTAGTTCTGGGTTTCTTGGATTTACCAGATCGTCTCGATGAGGATTTTTTGGACTTGGAAGATTTTGGCTCGTTAACTATGGTCATTGTTCATATCTGCAACAGAGACAGAAGTGCTGGTTGATGTAAGAGTGTCAGCGCTATGCAAAGAGAAGAGCAGAAGAAATTCTGTCACTTAATCTCAAAGAAATAGCCTGAAGAATTGAATAGCTAACCACTAATAGCTCACTAAGGACTTAAAGAAAACCCCAAACATGCAAAATCAAAATTTCTACCAAAACTCTATTGGTACTACCTTAACTCCTGAACAACTGGCAACTGATGACATTTTCACTTTTAAGGGATTTTAATGTATATTACAGTTACGGTGTGTTAATTTTTTTAAATATAAAAATGTATATGGCATTCTCTGAGGGCAACCAGTTATTCACCTATTGCTGATGTTAGAGCACCCACGACTTTAAAGCCTGCCTGTTTCCATTTTGTGTGCACAAAAGTAACTGCATTTAGCTGTTACTTTTTTGCTTTCTTTCCAACTCTCATTTTCTATCTCACTGTCTACTGCATCAATCAAAACGGGTTTCTTGCAATTCTACCATAACAGCTTTTAAATACTATTCTATAACAGTTTTTACATACTGTTCTCACATCAGTTAGTGATTCTGAGTCAGTCTGGGAGGGCTGTTGGGTCAGTACCACGAGGTGTGTTTTCCCAGCCAATAGGAGCTGTAAGCAGAGGGACATCCATGCCCTGCCATGCTAAGATTCAGGAGGAGACACTCAGCCTCACTGCACTCCTGGGAGCTGCATACCTCTGAGCCTCAACAACCAGAGAAATCTCGGGAAAGGAGAGCAAGAAAATGTGCATGTACTTCTTTCTTTTGAAGTTTCTTTGGCCCCTCCTTGAAATACTGCTTTGAGTTTAACTCTCGCAGCACTACTCGCACTATTTTGCACCTATCACACTCACAACTCCTTCAATAAGCTGAAAAGTTAGATGCTTTTTGGGCTGTTTCAGTTCCACTTTGTAAAGTTGCATTTCCCTGCTGTAAAACAACAGAGGAATGTAAGCTACAAAAAGGAAATGACAAAACAGACCCTCAGCCCTCAAGGATGATGTCAATAACTGATTTAAAGTCCTTTTTGAAACACTGCTTAGGTTTCAAGATGACACCACGTTAAAGACGTGTGACTGTGTATATGTAGTGAGGAGCTGAACAATGATGGGAGGAATTATCACTGTCTATGGGTAAACGTTTGCTGCTGACCTACTGCAGGACTCACATTAGGTATAGGGAACCAACCTAGCAGGGGGTTAAACCATCAGCCAGTTCCTTATACTGGACTGACTGAGGACAGCGTGAAGTGGCTTCAGATTTATGGCAAAACTTGATTGCTATTGATTAGGTTTATGATACGCTGAACAAAACACAGTAAATTTGAGAACTTCTTTGAATCCCACAAATGACAACTTGTGTGCATAGCCTCAAATTATACATTTTTCTCTTAAAATCTTCAGTTAAAGAAATCATTTCAAATCCATTCCATATACATTTTCCATTTCAGAGAAAACAAAATGCAAAACTAAAAAATTCATTTAACTGAGAAACGAAGGCATCCTTGTCCTATGGGAAGACTAAGGTGGCAGCGCCTGGGCTCAGTGACTTTCAGATAAGATCCAGTCTTCAAACTGCAGATACCAGTGACATCTCCTTTTTTTCTGATTGAAAGGGAAAAAGTTTCAACAACATATTTAAAACCTATTTGAGGGACAAGAAACAGAATCAAAACGGCAATGAAAAGGGAAGAACATTATTCCACACAACCCGGGAGCGCTGCATCGACCAACGAGGCAAACCTTACATTTCATTTCACTGGGCCGCCCAGGGCTCATTATTACATACCGACGGAGTACAGTGGCAGGCAGGTATCAGCATCAGAAAGAACACACCAGATACACTTTCTCAAAATACATCGCTGTCTAATTTGGTCGTAACACCTCTGTGACAAAGAAGTATCAAAACTACAGATATCGGCCGCGTTTCCTTTTCCTCTATCCTAGAGATACGTACATACGTGTTCTGCTCCTACACCACTCCGAAAATAAACGGACACGGTTTGTGTTTCAGGTGCAAGTTCTCTGCACTTTCGCGTCTGCGGACTTTTCCTCAACACACTGAGAAGGAAATCAGACGTCAGCGGTTCAGGTAAGGCGGCGAGGCGCTGCCCCGTCCCGAGCTCGGCTCCAGCCCCGCACGGCGGAGAGCAGAGCGGCGGCGGGATGCGAGGGGCCGGGGATGGGAGCGGGCGAGCTCCGCCAGCCGCGACGATGCTGCGATCGTAAGTCACCGCTTAAGGCTTTGTGCACGGCACCGAGGGAGCGCTCGCGGCGCGTCTCGTTGCGAAATGAGCAGCGGCTGTACAAAGCGGGACGGGCGCACGGAACAAAACCGAGCCGCGGGGTTACGGCTGCAAACGTCCGCGAGGCAACGGCCGCGCGGCCCCTCCGCCCTCCGCCCGCCCCCGGCAGCGCCCCGCGGCCCGCACCGCACCGCCCTGCCCCGCCGGAGTGCCGCCCCAGCGCCCGCCCTCCCGGCCCGGCTCCGCTTTTTTCTCCCTTCCCGCGTCCGTACCGGCGCTTCGCGGCCCGACGGCGGCAGGAGCGACGAAGGGTTGGCCCCGCGGAGAGACGGTGACCATGGCAACGGGGCGGGGAAGGCGGGGTCGGGTTCCACGGCGCCGGGGGGGTGGGGCGGCGAGGCGGGCCGGGACCCCCCGCGCGGGCGGCGGCGGCGGCGGCAGCGGCGGCGGCGGCGGGGCGTGAGAGCGGGCAGCTCCGAGCCGGCGGGAACAACGGGGCGCCGCCGAGCGGCATCTGGGCGACGCGAAACCCTCCGGCCGGGGCGGGACGCGGGAAGCGGCGCCGGGTCCGCACGTCGGCGGCGGGCGGAGGACGGAGCGGCGGGCGGGACGCGGCGCGTAACGGAGGCGGCGGGAGGCGGCCGGTGCCGGCGGCCCGGAGGGGGGCGGCGGCGCGGGGCCGGACGGGCGCGGGGCCGGATGGGCGCTGTGCCGCTGCGGCGCTGTGCCGGGAGCGGCGCCCCGCCCCGCCCGGTAGTCCCACCCCCTCCGGCCTCCCGCCGGGCAGCGGGAAAGCGCGGGGTGGGCCGGGCCGAGCCGGCGGCTGCCGCCGGGCGCTTCCCCTTCCCTTTCCCGGGCCGGCCCCTCCCACCGGCCCATTGATTTCCAGGCGGGAGGCGCACGCGGCGCTGCCTTGCCGTGCCGGGCTCGCCGCTCCCCCCGGCCCCATTACCTGGCTCGGCCCCGCTCGACTCGGCGCTGCCGGGTCCCCCTCGCCGCAGCCCCCGCCTCAGCCCGGCCCGCTCCGCCTCCAGTTTCAGCCCGTCGGGGAACAATGACGTCCCTCCGCCGGCCTCTTGCATCCGGGGCCCGGCGCCGGCCCGGCGAGCGGGCGGGGGGAGGGAAGGCGGCGGCGGCGGCGGCGGCGGCGGCGGCGGGGGGAGAAGCGAGCTCCTCCGGGTCACACGGGGACCGGCACCGCCCCTGTGCCGCTGCCGGGAGCCGCTAGGGGGGGCTCGGCGACCCCCGCTCGGAGCCGGGCCCGAGGGCTGCCGCTGCTGGAGGGCCGAGGCGGGGCGGCCCCGCGCCGGCTCTCGGGGCGCTTCGCGGCTCCCGGGCCGAGGGCGCGGCGGCCCGCTTGGAGCCGGGCCCTTTGCCGGCTCTGTTCGCCGCCGTCCCGTTTACCCCCCCCGCCCGATTAACGTTTTTCCGCTCTTTGCTCCAGGAGCGGCCGCGAAGCGCCCGCCCAGGCCCTGGGCCCGCCCCGCACAGAGGCGGGCAGGTGCCGGCGGCGGGGCAGGCCGCGGGCGCAGCGCCGGGCATGTGGCGGGGCCGGGAGGTCACCGCGACGGCCGCGACCCGCCGCCAGCCGCCCGCCATTCAGTTCCCCGAGGAGAGCCCGGAGCCGCGCTTCGACGGTACGCGGGGCGGCCTCGTGGGGAGCCGCGGGGCCGAGGGGGGGGGGCTCCTTCTGCGTGCGGATGGTCGGAGCGCCGCCGGGGGAACCAGGCGGAGCGGGAGCGGCGGCCCCGGGGCCGACGGAGGGCGGGTCGGCCGCGGGAGCCGCAGCGGTTCGGTTCGCGTGGAGGTACTTCAAAATGTGAATCGCGATTCGGTCCCTGATGAGCGCCTCCAGCTTCTCGCTCAGCATCGGCCGGTGCGTTGCGTTTCTGCGAGGCTGGGCCGTGCTGTGCTGTGGGAGCGCTGCGGCTTCGGCCCGGTGTGCGAGCGGTAAGGAGCGCTAACTCGGCCTGTGGCTTCTTTTCGTCAGAGTCGGATGTGCCGGCAGAACTGCGAGTGGCCAATGGGTCGCAGAAGTTTGTGAATTTCACTTCGACCATCCAGAACCAGCTGCTGCTGGTGTCGCTGCTGGAGCACCTGTGCCACATGTACACACACAACCCCGTGCACTCGAGGTGCTTGTTCCGAAGTTAGTAAGAGCGCTTCTTCCTTACGGCATTACGTACCTGCGTGTTCTGCGCGGCGCTGCGGAGCTCTGTCAGTAAGAAGCTCCAGGCCTCGTCCTGTGGGGTGACAGGAGCAGTTCTCAGGAGAGGTTGAAGACTCCAAGTCAGCTTAATTGGTACCGAGGACCTCTGTTTTCTGAAAAAAATAAATAAATGAATAGCACTGCAGTTGTCAGTACAAAGAACAGGCAGTTCTCTTCCAGTTAAGTCACGAGAGTTGCGTCACAGGAAGGGAAGCGAAAGCAAGGTAACTTGCTTGAGGGAGATTGCGCTCTGTGGTGATATTAGATTGGATCTAAAAACACAGATAAAAGAGGGGCTTGTTAGAAATATTTATCAAGAAATAGCTGCGGCATCATCTTCTCTGCATCTGCCAAAATCATGTTCTCTGAAGTCAAAGTAAGTGATTTTGGAGGTCCCATATTTTCCAACAGAGTTGTTTGACATAATTCTAGAGCTTGCATTCTTAGACGTGAGGTGTTTCTCCTGAAATCTGTTCATTTGGGTATGTGGCTTATCTTAGGTATTTTGTTCATTTAAGCATGTGCATAATGATCTCAGAAACCATCTTTCATTTTTTTCCTTACTATTTGTGATTGTAGAAAATAAAAATAGCCACGTATATTGCTTCTGTTTGAAGCCATTTATGGCATTCTCTAGTAACAGGCAACTATCACTTTTTCATTCATGAAATCTGATGTAGGTGTTTGTCCCCAGGTTTTGCTATATCTTTATATATTTAAAAAAAAAAAAGAACTTGCCAAAAAAAAACAACAAAAACCACACAAATAGCTCTTCTTAGGACTGAAAAAAAAAAAAACTTTCTGTAAGAAGTGTAGGTCACCCTGTGTGGGTAAGATCAGCCTATGCTGATAGGCCTAATTCATGATTTAAGGTCATTTGAGTAAAAGTATTAAAACGCTGGAATTTTTAACCTACTAAACCTATATAGGTTAAAACTGAAAGTAATCTGCAAAGGTTGTGCTGGCTGAGACTTCAGTGTTGGACAGAGGGGTTGGATCTTTACTATCTAAAAGCAGAATTTACCTTAGAAATGTAAGACTGCTCTGTATTATGATGCGTACACACAATTATAAAGACAAACTGTTTTTAGAAGTGATTGGATTGGAGGAAGGAGCATTGGATTTTTATCTGGTAGGAACATTATACTTGTCTATTTCATTGTATATTAAATATTATATAGGGGAAAAAAAATCACATTTTATCTCTACAGAGATACAGGCAAACCTATTCTGAAATCCTTTATCTCTCTGTTCTATAAAGGGCTAAGTTGGCTTTCCCATAGAAGTATAGGCTGCCCTATACTGATAGGTCTGTCTATCATGTCAAAAATTGAAATAATTTATAAAGCATTTCTGGAATTGGGAAAGAAGAGGAAAAACTGTGAGAACACCAACTTACAGAAGTATTTTACCATTAGCCATATACTTACCTACTTAATGGTAAGTAATCATAAGAATTCCTTGTTTTTTTCAACATTTTAAAGGTAGAGATCAACTTATACCGGTATACATCCATTATATGTACAGACAGTAAAATAGCAGTTATGCAAAATTTATAAACAAATAAAGTGTGGGGAGGAGTTGGGAGGCATGGGAACATGAGAAAAAGAGAAGAACTGAATTATTTCTAAGCTGTCTAGGCAGAACTTAGGAGGCACAAGCACCCTTAGGGGAGACACTGCTGTCCTGGAGAGACAGAGGTCTGTCTGTGTTCTGACAACTGCCAGCTCTGCCAATAAGAAGACTCGAAGTATCCTGGAATTATTCTGGGGTTTTATTTAAGGCAGCAAAAGGTTGTTGAGTCCTTATGGTCCCCCCCTTATGACCTGAGGGCCTTGGTTAAGGTGTGGTTACTTGCATGTTCTCTCAGGGGCCTGGGTTTGATGCAGCCTGTGCCCCTTGCTGATGGTGCAGCTATTGCATTCCCTTTGTGCTTCTATGGCAGATGATAGTGCTGCATTGGTAGAGTTTAAGCCTGTTTCCAAGTGGCATAAACCCAATGAGTAAAATAAATTCATACTGCAGTAATCATACCTGTTTTGTGATTGTGGCTACTAAAGTCACGTTGGCCTGGGTGGATTTTACCCCCACTTTTCTGTTGTATGTCACTGTCCGTGATGCCCTTATAGCAAAATTCCCGATTCCTTATAGGTTCACTTCAGTGTGCTTTATGTTCATTGAGAGATGACAGGCTGATTTTGAAGTGTCAGTACCAAAGAAAGTCTTGCAAGCAAGTTGAAGATCTTGGAACTCATAAGTATTTGCAGTACATTTCCTGTACTATCTTTATGGTTGCACCCATCTCTGATCTCCAGTGTCAGTTCTTTCTGTCACAGCACTGCTTAACCCGGCTGTGCAGTATGCAGCGTTTTGGTGTGGGTGATTTCTTTACTACAGGTACTTAAACAAATGTGAGCTGATAGGGGAATTAGAATAACATAGTAGTGCCTCTTTTCTATAAGCGTGCCCTCATAGTTGCTCTTTTCTATGAGAGAATATGGTACAAAGGTAAGGAGTGAACAGGTGAATGTTTGCATGATTCACCTGCTGAGATAAGAAAGAACAGGAAATGCGCTGAAATGCATGGCAATTAGCTGCATTATGCAAAGGGATTCCCCCGGAGCAGCTCTAGTTTGGGTTTAATTAGCTTTTATCCCTATGGGAAAGGGCATTGTGATAGAAGTGGCTGAACGTTCAGGTTTTCAGATGCTCTGTCTTTCAAATAAAGTTTACTCATTTCAAAAACAACTGCTCACGTGGTCTTATTGGCAAGCTTTATTTAACGTGACCTTTTTCTGTTCCTTTGTGCAGTACTTCGACAGGCTTTCACAAGAACAGGTTTGCTCTCCCCTTTTGCCTTCTGTGATGAGTTTAGTACTGTAAGACTGCAGCATAATAGAGCCATTACTGAGCTAATGAAAGCAGCTAACCGACAAGTACTTAATGGGGTAAGCTTTGTTAATTTTGTTTGGCAGCATCTGCGTTTAGGGATTAACACATCATTGCATCTAAAGAATATTTTGTTTCGGGGTTCTTTTAATACTAGATTAGTTGTTTTCAGTAACTACAAATAGAATTCTGGTTCTATCTTGTCTATTTGAGATGGTGTGTTCTGGACCTGTAGCTGCAAACCGATGTTTTTGAAACCAGATTTCATTCTGTATTAAATAATAATTAAAAAAATGTTTTCTTCTTT